TTGTCTGTGTGTGTGTGTGTGTGTGTACATATCCATGTTTATGTATGTATCTTATGCATGCAATCTAGCGGTTTTTCCTTCCCCGTCCCCAGCACGCGGCTAAACGCTAAAGCTTGCAAAATTCTGAAAATTGCAAGAAATGCACATGCTAATTCTGCTATAAGAATCATGTGGGGGAACCTTGAGTCGACCTGGGTTTCCGTAGTGTAGTGGTTATCACGTTCGCCTAACACGCGAAAGGTCCCCGGTTCGAAACCGGGCGGAAACACTTTTTTATTTTTCTGGATACAGTTTGTGAGACGTTTTACGATCAGAACACGTTTAGAGGAGGTACCGGCCGGGTTTTGTGTTACTTTGTACCAAATGATAAATATTAATGTGGTTTGAACGCAAGTTCAGTCACTCAGCAAACTTTACCTAACCGCTCTGCAATTTTTGTTTTGCTTTCATTGCTCGCGTCGACGTATTTCCAAACGGGGTGCGTGTCGGTGGGGAGAAATCTGGGTGATTAAATGCCTATTTTAGGAAGATGGAGAAAACGTTGCGTGCTTCTGAAAGTGAGAACAAAGCGACGGCAGAATTCACACTTCAAATTCTCACACTGAAAGCTCTTACATTATTTCAAGTAATTAATTGTGCATTTTTTAAAAAAATCTGTACTTTTTTTAGCGCGGAGCCATGGTGCGGGGGGGGGGGGAGGATCGTTTCCTCCTTGTTTGGGTAAGCGAACCCCAAAAAGCAAGGAAATGAACAAGGGCCTGTTTGCAGAGCAGCCATGGATCGCATCTCTGCAACGGTGTGCCATTATTTCTAATCCGGATTATTTAAAAAATTCACTTAAAACATGGGTAGGCAAACTAAGGTCCGGGGGCCGGATCCGGCCCAATCACCTTCTAAATACGGCCCGCGGACGGTCTGGGAATCAGGGTGATTTTACATGAGTAGAATGTGTCCTTTTATTTAAAATGCATCTCTGGGTTATTTGTGGGGCATAGGAATTTGTTCATTTCTTTTCCTTCCAAAATATAGTCCGCCCCCCCCCCTCAAGGTCTGAGGGACAGTGAACCGGCCCCCTGCTGGAAAAGTTTGCTGACCCCTGACTTAAAAGTTTGCATTTAGCGCCTTCAGCCACAGAGAACTTTTCTTTGCAAAGTTTCGTAAGAATCCCGCTTGCCCCCCCCTCCCCATCCACAAGGAGGGAGCGCCTGGTTGGACAAACTTTCCTTTGAGTTGCAAAAAAAGCATCAAAACTGGCGACTGCTACATCCCAGGGAAAACTCTGCAGTACAGTGGTACCTCAGGTTACATACGCTTCAGGTTACAGAGTCCGCTAACCCAGAAATAGTGCTTCAGGCTAAGAACTTTGCTTCAGGATGAGAACTGAAATTGGGCTCTGGTGGCGCAGCAGCAGCAGGAGGCCCCATGAGCTAAAGTGGTACCTCAGGTTAAGAACAGTTTCAGGTTAAGAATGGACCTCCGGAACGAATTAAGTACTTAACCCGAGGTACCACTGTATTATACATTGGGGTGAGGTGAAGAGAGGACTAGCGATGCCTATTAGCCACACTGGCTATTGCTCTGCCCTCCACCGTTGGAGGCATCACCCCCCCAGCGAAAGAATTCTGCACACTGTAGTTTGTCAAGGACTGTTGGATATTTTAACTTGGGATGTGTGTGTTAAATTACAGCATCCAGAACAATATTGGCCCAACAGGTTGTTTCCCTCCCCACACCATACCCCATCAGACAATGTCACACCAGTGACATCAACCGATGGACAGGGGGGCAGGTTTTAATCTTGCATGAGCTGCGCCACCATGTTCCTAGCAGGGAACAGGTTTGTGCATGTGAGGCAGCCTGATTTAATCTCTGCGCATCAGCTGCTCTGGCTCCCATCTTAAAGCAGGGGTAGGAGACGCGCAGAGGCTTTCCACCCACCTCCCTTTTAAGTTGTAAAAAGCCTGTGTGAGTCTCTGTGTAATGGTTAGTGTGTTGGAATCCCCTGGTTGGAATCCCCACTCAGCCATGAAGCTCACTGGGTGAGCTTAGCCCAGACACCATCTCTTAGCCTAACCTATCTCACAGGGTTGTTGTGAGGATGAAATGGGGAGAACCATGTAATAATAATAATAATTTTATTATTTATACCTCGCCCATCTGGCTGGGTTTCCGCAGCCGCTCTGGGCGGCACCCAATAGAATATTAAAAACACAACTAAACATCAAACATTAAAAACTTCCCTAAACAGGGCCACCTTCAGATATTTTTTAAATGTCATATAGTTGTTTATTTCCTTGACATCTGATGGGAGGGCGTTCCACAGGAAGGGTGCCACTACCTAGAAGGCCCTCTGCCTGATTCCCTGTAACCTCACTTCTCGCAGTGAGGGAACCACCAGAAGGCTCTCTGAGCTGGACCTCAGTGTCTGGGCTGAACGAAGGGGGTGGAGACGCTCCTTCAGGTATACTGGGCCGAGGCCATTTAGGGCTTTAAAGGTCAGCACCAACACTTTGAATTGTGCTCGGAAATGTACTGGGAGCCAATGTTGGTCTTTCAGGACCGGAGTTATATAGTCTCGGCAGCCACTCCCAGTCACCAGTCTAGCTGCCGCATTCTGGATTAGTTGTAGTATCTGGGTCACCTTCAAAGGTAGCCCCATGTAGAGCGTATTGCAGTAGTCCAAGTGGGAGATATCTAGAGCATTCACCACTCTGGTGAGACAGTCTGCATACCAGATGGAGCTGGTAGACAGCTGCCCTGGACACAGAAATGACCTGTGCCTCCGTGGACAGCTGTGAGTCCAAAATTACTCCCAGGCTGCGCACCTGGTCCTTCAGGGGCAGTTACCCTATTCAGGACCAGGGAGTCCTCCACACCTGCCACCTTGAGATTCTTGGAATATAAAGGTCATATATAAATTAACAAATATAAGATCAGAGCAAGATCCAGTTTCTACACAGCCTTTGGCAGCCTCCTAGGTTTAGCTCTAAGTTGGCATTACCTAACAAGAAGTACATCAGTTATGGAGCAGATGCATTTAGGTAGCATGAAGTCATTAAGTAGAGGTGGCGACAGGCCGACAAATAAATGTACTTGCACTCCAAGATTCCCTCACCAAGTAATAGTGATCCATTTTCTGGAATGTGAATAATCAATACAATGAAGTAAATGTGAAAAATACAACATGCTTTCTTGCTTCTCAAAGGGTGCTTAAAAACACAATGAGAAATATAAGTCAGTTTTAGACTGCCTCCGCTTTTGAAAAGAATTTTATTTTCATTTTGACTGAAACTCTGGGTGTGTTTTAAAATGCCTTGATTCAAGTTTTAGTAGATTTGCAGATATCCCTTCAGTATGGTCCCAGAAATCGTATTTTTTATTTACCGTATTTTTTGCTCCATAACACTCACTTTTTTCCTCCTAGAAAGTAAGGGGAAATGTCTGTGCGTGTTATGGAGCGAATGCCTACGGATGGCGGGGGGATCTGCTGCAGTCGTGAGCAGAGGATCCATGGTTCCCCTTCCTTCCCTCCTCCGTGGCTCGCTTTGAAACAGCAAAGCGGGAGAAGAGTTGCTGAGTGGGGAGAAGAGAGGGACAGAGAGCCTGGTTACAAAGCACGGATCCACATGGATCCTCAGGATTTTTGCACTGGGTCACCCCAAATTCACCATCAGATCACATAGCATGTCCATGGCTACAGCTTGCACCAAAAAAATCACGCACCCACTGTTGCCTGGGGCCACAGTGGTGCAAAAACATGGTTACAAAGCATGGATCCACATGGATACTCAGGATTTTTCCATTGGGCTACCCCAAACTCACCGTCAGATCACATGTCTGTGACCACAGCATGAACCACAAAAATCATACATCCACTGTTTCATTTAGAATTTTTTTTCCTTGTTTTCCTCCTCTAAAAACTATGTGCATGTTATGGTCGGGTGCGTGTTATAGAGCGAAAAATACGGTAACTAAATTTATATACTTGACTGTAATAAAACCTAAGTGCCTCCTAAATGAATCTTAAACCTCACAACTCATCTGAACAGGAAGGAGTGGCCCGGTTTCATACATAACTAAACTAAGGCATGACCTGTTTAGCAAAAATGTGGTGTTTGTGAACATATGAATCCAGACAATCAGACTAACCATGGTCTGTCCAAACCGAACAACTTTGCTTAACCATGGTTTGTTTAGCCACCCAGTCTCTAGAACTTGGGCAAGCTACAGAGGCGTAAAGCAAGAACAGCTGAAAACAAACCAACTTTCGAGAAGTAAGCCGTGTCTTACTTGCTTATTGGTGAGACAACTCAGGTTCCCCTCCCCCCAACAAATCAGGGTTAAAGCAAGCCACGGTTTAGCATTATGCGCAAACACAGCAATCACAAAGGACTATTATTTAATCAGAAAGAGCAGGCTGAAAAGATGTATGTTTATGTCACATTCTCTTCATCATTGGTTTAGATGAAACTTGCTTCATTAGGTATCTTTTGAGAACATTTTTTTTCTTTCAAGTGTACAAAACAAAATAATTTAACACACATAATTGTGGAAAAAAATAGAAACCTAACAGCTCTTTTTTAAAGAGCTGACTATGCCAATGAGAGTTTTGAGACAAGCATCTGTCAGCAACCGTGCTGCCACACTTATGAACATGATGCCATATATACTTTTTTGTGATCTATTACCAGATTTCTGTGGCTCAGCAATTATGCATTTTTCTTTGACATCTCGTGTGAATGTAATTCTACCTCAGTAACTTTTTACTGTTTGTCAAAAATCTACCTGTTATCACCTCTGTTTCAGACACAAAATCCAGTCTTGTCTGTTCCCATTTGTCTTAATTTATTAATAATAATAATAAACCAACCTCATAGTAAAAAAACTTTCACATTTTAAAAAATCCAAAGAACCACCATGTGCAAAATTAGCTTGGAACACAAGTTATGCTTTGCTTTAAAGCCATCTAACAGAAACATGTGAAATTGTTAAAACACAATTCACCATGCTAAGAGGGTTTCATCAAAGTGATGCAAGTCTTGAGTGTCAGCCATTATTGAATTCAGCATTGAACTAGGCAACAGTTCTTCTAGACTAAATTGTTTTGTTGGACTTTCAAAGTCGAGTTTCTTGGGGGATGATTTAATTGACAGGTTTGTACGGTCCTCATATCCATTCTCCTTTACTGGACTATGATAATTATGGTCATGGTTTATTTCCTGTGCACCATATCCACATTCTTCTTCTTGTGGAAGTTCCAAGGAAGCAACAGATGTAGTGGGAGACAGCAGCTCAGATAAAATGTCATCAAAACTTGAACTGCTACACTGGGACATACTGGTGCTTAGAGAATTCACAGATTTACTATCTTCAACATCAATTTGGTCCTGCAGGGCATTTAACAAGCTCTGCAGGGAGTCACTTTCTTTCTGGGATTGAAGCTGTGACTGATCCTTCATCCTTTTCTTGGGAGAGCGCCTGTTTCGCACCTGAGCCTTCGCCACCTTATCTAGCGAAGCCAGTTTCTCCTTCTTAGCTTTCAGCTGCTGTTGAAGTTGTAGGCGCAGTCGGTGTGCTATTGTAACGCTTGACTCTTCAACATTCTCAGCCGATGTAAAGCTTTTCGTTTTATTGTGGCTCGGTTTAGGCCCAATCTGGTTACCCAAAGCAACCAGTGAGGCAGCACTCTCCACCGCATTACTTTTGCTTCCAACAATGTGATGCTTTTCTATAGGGGGTCTTGCAAAAAGAGTGGGTGAGGATAGAGGAGGAGCCTTATGAGAAGAATCTAATGCCCTCTCTGTTAACTTCTCCCTTTGGTTTTTTGAATGTTTTGCTTGAAAACCATGAAAGTGGCTTGCCTGTCTACCAAGTGAAGTGCAGCGAGTTTCTTTTTTAATGGGCTTTTTACAGATCTCCGTGTTATTATAGGTTAATAAACTTTTGGGCATGAGAGGATGAGATCTTTCAAGTAAACCCTTTACCCAACTGCCTGTGAACGACTTTGTTCCGTTTTTAGGGGCCGAGTGAGAATAACTACTTGGGGAAGAAGCAGAACTAGCCTGGGAATTTGCTGTTGCTTCTCTCCAGTGTTCTACAGTACTATGTGTTATCTGTACACTATTCCCTGCTTTTGTTCTGCTGCTTTTGTTTTCTTGATTTGCTGTGTCCAAACTGCTGCTATCTTTGATCGGAACTTCAGGTTCTGCCCCTTGAACTGGTAACATTTCTGGTGAATAATGGCTATTGCTCAGAGAAACGACCGGCGTTATAAGCATGTTACTTGCATTGTTTGGCTGCCCTTGATGCAAGGGAGTACTGCCATTTTCAAGTAACTTGCACTCCTTCCCAGCAACATCTCTTTCAGAAGTAGCTGGAGAAACTTTAACTCCACCTGGATCATGCAGCTGCGATGTGTCCATTCTGACTGTCATGTTATTTTCCACTGCAGGGCTTTTGTCCAGTGGTTTACCTTCAGAGTCAAGTGGAACTCGTACAAGAGTCAAAGTTACAACATCATCATTGGCCAGGTTTTCCAAGCCGCAAAGCAAATTACTGTTGTTATTCGCAATCAAGTTTTGTGTCTCATTTGTGTGTGCATTCAAGTTATCGTCAGTGTGATAAATTAAAGGTGCGTTGCCAGCAGACTTGCCATCAGCATATTTAAATGGAGAATCTGGCTGTGCTTTTAGCAAAGGAACATTCGTAGCCACTTCACTTTCTAGCTGCGAATCCAGACCATTTGTCAGTCGTGGCGATTTTCTTTCCCAGATGACAATGTGAATCTCTGAAGGGGGAACGCCAAAGATCTTGTGTCTTCTAGAGTACGAACCCTTTAAGTCATCACACTCAAGCCATGTTTCTGAAAATGAGAAATGAACAGTTCAGAATTTTAGGATGCATAATCCCTCATCACAGTTCTCTGGAAATCACTGTTCTATTCATTTCAAAGTCTTTCAGCACTTTACTGGATAAACCAGCTTTGAAATATATCCACAAAAATAAACAGCAACTAGCCTGCCCGCCCACACATACCTATGTAAGTCACAAATGGTCTCCAATTCTCTACCACTTTACAATGGCTTCCCTGCCTGGAAGCAATTTTTACTCACCACCGGAGATCAAGAAAACAGTTATTTACAAGTCTGATGTGAACATTTATTTCACCTCGCCAGAAAGTGTTCCTAATAATGGATATGAGTACTACAGTGGTATCTTGGGTTACATACGCTTCAGGTTACAGACTCCGCTAACCCAGAAATAATACCTTGGGTTAAGAACTTTGCTTCAGGATGAGAACAGAAATCGTGCAGCAGCAGCGTGGGAGGCCCCATTAGCTAAAGTGGTGCTTCAGGTTAAGAAGAGTTTCAGGTTAAGAACGGACCTCCGGAACGAATTAAGTACTTAACCCGAGGTACCACTGTACTTATTTTCATAGAATCGGAAGGGACCCTGAGTCATCCAGTCCAACCTCCTGCAATGCAGGAATATGCAGTTGTCCCTTACGGGGAATCGAACCTGCAGCCTCTAACCAACTGAGCTATCTGAATGACTGGCTATAGGACTGATATAGGAATGGTTTTCGAGCTTTCTCTTATCTTAACCTTGGATCACCACACAGTAGAAGACATACCGTATTTTTTGCTCTATAAGACTCACTTTTTCCCTCCTAAAAAGTAAGGGGAAATGTGTGCGCGCCTTATGGAGTGAATGCAGGCAGCGCACCTATCCCAGAAGCCAGAACAGCAAGAGGGATTGCTGCTTTCACTGCGCAGCAATCCCTCTTGCAGTTCTGGCTTCTGAGATTCATAATATTTTTTTTCTTGTTTTCCTCCTCCAAAAACTAGGTGCGTCTTGTGGTCTGATGCGTCTTATAGAGCGAAAAATACGATAATTGTTGGTCCTCTCTGAGAAGGGTTTTGAGGGAAAACCCTCCCCATTACTGTGGGAGGCTCCCAGGTGCCTTTTGGGACAGGATTGGCAAGGGGATAATGGACATGACTGTGCTGGAACTACTTGTTATGAAACAGTGATAGCTTATGTATACTGGGTTAGAAAAACGTACAACAGAACAGCACACATACTGCTAACTGGTCTACTACTTATGGCAGGCATAGGCAAACTCAGCCCTCTAGATGTTTTTGGGGCTACAACTCGCATCACCCCTGACCACTGGCCCTATTAGCTAGGGATGATGGGAGTTGTAGTCCCAAAACATCTGGAGGGATGAGTTTGCCTATGCCTGAGTTATGGGTTCCTAATCTCTTGCTTTTCTTCCCAGAATCATCTGAGGCTACCAACCAGGACTTGCAACAAAAAGAGAAAGTCCCAGGCAAATTGCAGGGGAGCTAAAAGGAAAAGGGAGAAAGCATAACAAAACAAGATTGAACTTTCCTGATGAAGGACCTGAGAGGGCTGGTACATTCTGCACAGTAAGCTTTTTCTTTTACATGTGTTTCCTGCTTTCTTTCCGCCAGCCTGTGCAGACAGACACCTATTGAAGGACAGGTGATGGGAGTGCACTGTACTTACCATCTGAATCCGAGATCCATGTTATGAAGTGTCTTGCCTCCTCCTGATACTGAACAACAGCTGTTACTTGGTAGGAATCGCCTTGAAACTGAAATGAGTAGGTCTCCAGATCATTACGTGGCAAGCCTTCCACAAAGTGCATCATAAGTACCGAGGAAACACTATCAAAGAAACAACAATTTGTAGCTTTAGAACTATGTAACTTACAGCATTATTAATACTCGATACATCATCCACACACAGCAGAATTAGCAACTAGCTGTTTAGGAAACTCCATTTATGAAAGTTTCATAAGTATCTCAAAAGCTTTTTATAAAACCACCCAAATAAGACTATTTGAGAGCTTATAGAATGAGATTCCATAAGCCATGGTTTTCAAATAGCAGAACCTTGGAGGTAGGTACAGCTGTCTAGCTGGCAAATTCATAGTTACATGATGGGACCCAGCAAGGCTACTAATATTATGCCAGAACTGCATTTTCATACAACACTAGCAGCAGCTCATTATCCACCTGCGATGTAGTTTTACTCACATCAGCAGCTTAATATGGTTCGCACTTACTTTTCTAAAACCATTTCTCTTCTTTGAGATTTGTGATGACAGTTATTACAGGGACCAGTATGAACAGCTTTCAGCGGGTGCCATTCTGGGATGATATTTGTAAATGTTGTCAATGTCTTCTGACGCCTGAAATAAGAAATGATCCAGTGCTGTGAGAAAATTATTGCCAAGCTAAACCTGGGACATCCAGAAGAGTCATTCATATGAATGATCCACATTCAAAATTGCTCTGAACCTGCTGCAATCAAAAGCTTAAATGTAATTTTAAGTTCCAAGTTAAAGAAGTAAATACTGGCAAATTTCACGGATTGCCCTAGGGTGGGAATGTTTACCCCATGCAACAGTTTTTAAAAGCTACAGGAACATATACCTGCTGCTTGCAGGTGACTGAAATTCAATAAACAATGAATTTTCCAGTTTAAAGTAAGCTTGACTGTAAGCAGTGGCATGTCTGCAACAGAAACAAAAAAGATATCTGTGGATGTGTACATGATTCTCCCCTGCATGTGAACACAGCCTTGGAGAACTGTACTGCCAGCAAAATGTGCTGGTTGTTTAGGCTAGCAAATAGCCATTGGAGGGAATGTCTGTCAATATGGGGTGAGATATTATGCTCCTGGGCTTGGTGTCTTTATCAGGGAATAGAATCAAGTAGAATGGAAGTAGAATGGGATGTATCTGGGAACCTCATTTATGTTGAGGCTAAACATGATGTTTGGGCTACTGTCATATATTGCAGTGTTCAGCTCTTGAATGCACACTTTAACTGGCAGGATCAATCCTGACCAACAGCAAGAAAAACTCAGGAATTATCAAGTACTGCAGAGCTAGCTTGCCTTTTCTGACAGCAAACACAACATTTTATGCTATGCTGTGAAAGAAGACGTATGGCATACTCATAACACCCCATCAATCCCGCACATGTTCTGTTTGCAGAGAAAAATATAAAGACATCCACGCTGATTTGAAGATTAACATGTGCTTGTATTAAGGAAGACGAGAAAGAACTTCAGCAGAAACTAACCTGTCATTGACTTGGTAGCCACACTGTGAGCATTCGAACTTCCATGAATAAGAGTGGAGAAACAGTTTTTCTGTTTGAGGATCCTTCTTTAAAAGTAGAGGGAATGCAAACACCGGGCTCTCCTTGTTACCTTTGAAGAAAAGAAATGGGGTGAGACACATGAAAGCACCCTGCAGGACAGTAAAAACATTTTACTATGTTTCATAGAATCACAGAGTTGGAAAGAGACCATGAGGATCATCTAGTCCAACCCCCTGCAGTGCAGGAATATGCAGCTGTCCCGTATGGGGATCGAACCTGCAACCTTCGCATTATAAATACCATATTCTAACCAACTGAGCTATCCAGGTCCTTTTTAAATAATGTAAAATACCTTGCTGATCATGGCCAAAATCTAGTGACTCTTCAAAAGATGTTTCACATATTTCAGAAAGCACTTACAAGGGCCAATTCTTACAAACGCTGGTGCACAGGCTCATAAAGTGTGTTTTGCTTTCTGTTCAAACAACAAAAGTACGAAGGTCTAAAGATATCTGAATTTTGCATTGAATTATATACTTTTTAAGTCATTGAAATATCTAAGAATTATACATTTTGCTTCCTATATTAAATAAAACCTAAGACCTAATTTATGACAACTTTTTTTAGTAACTGTCAGCAGCGGCTTATGCATCTTTACTCAAAAGCAAGTTCCACTGAGTTCAATGAGCCTCCCAGGTGAGTGTGCACAGAGTGCAGTTTGAGTGCAGTTTTCTTCTGACACAGGATTGGGATATACATGATGAGAAACTCTGAGCACTGACTACTTAGCAGGAAGAGGCTAGAAAATCTGGTGAAGGTATCTTAACAAGGAACCCTATGTTAAGTTAGGGCCATAACTCAGTGGCAGAGCATCTGCTTTGCATGCAGAATGTCCCAGGTTCAATCTCTGGCATCTCCAGGGAGAGAACCCTGCCTGAAATCCCGGAGAGCTGCTACCAGTCAGTGAAAACAACACTGAGGTGAACCAATGGCCTGACTCCGTATAAGGCAGCTTCCCATGTCTTAAATGGAATCTGCATATTCAGAGGCAATACAGTGGTACCTTGGGTTACATACGCTTCAGGTTACATACACTTCAGGTTACAGCCTCCGCTAACCCAGAAATAGTGCTTCAGGTTAAGAACAAAAATCGTGCTCCAGCGGCGCGGCAGCAGCAGGAGGCCCCATTAGCTAAAGTGGTGCTACAGGTTAAGAACAGTTTCAGGTTAAGAACGGACCTCCAGAATGAATTAAGTACTTAACCTGAGGTACCACTGTATTCCCTTAAATATTAGTTGAAAAAGGCACGGCCTTCACACTCAGTTTCAGAACTTGCCCAAGGCATCTGGTTGACCACTGTGGGAAGACAAATGCTGGAGTAGATGGACCTTTGATCTGATTCAATAGTATTCTCCTTATGCCTAACTGAGGAATCAATGGCCCAGAAAACAGCTAGAACACACAAAGGCATTAGATCACTGAAACCGGAATCCTATCTGAAGCTAATGACAACGAAAAGTAGTTTGCAGCTGATGGACAGAAAGGAAGTACTAGCATTGCAATATATTAGCACAGAACTCTTGAGGAATGACTCTCTCTGGACCCACAAAGAAACTAAAGATAAAGGAACTTTACAATACAGAAAAAAAGAAAGTAGGTTTGGCACTAGTTTACTGTCACGTTTGGAAACTTAGTACTGTTGTATGTAAAATAATAACAACGACAATAATGAAAAACCCTTTAGCAATTACTTACCTAATTTACATTTAAGCTGTGGCTGAAGTTGGACAAAAATTGTATTTCTGATTTCATTCAAGTGTGATTCAGCTCTCGAAAGAACATCCAAAGGAACTTCCGAAACACATTCACCTGCAAAAAACAGAATGATCCATCAACATTTTGTCTCCAGGAACTGCCATTTTTTTATTCTGTACCAACAATAACTGAGTATTTATTCCACTTATTAATGTATGTATATATACCACTTTAACATTGTCCTTGAGCTGGTAACACTATCAAATAGATGTAATTATCCTATTTGTTTTGTAGCTGTTATGGCTATACAAGTAACCAGACTTCAGATGCTCACAAATATCTCCAGTGCTGTGAAATCAGATTAATGCAACCATCTCTATAAACAACTATCCAAAGCTAATGGCAAGTGGTGTGAACCACTTAAATCAACTAGGACACCTGCCAAAGCCAAACCTCTGCCTTGCCTCTCATGAAGTGGCTTTCAAATTGCTTCCTGGAGAACCATGGTGTCTTCAGAAGCTTATCAGGCACCCATCAAAGAGAAATGTCAGATAAGAGTCAATGGAAGACAGCTTGTCATCACTACTGATCTTTCCCTGGAACATAAAGCTAGAGGAGATGAGTGTGTTATAGGGTATACTGTCACTCCCAGCAGAGCTACAGTGAGACTCTGAGAGTCTACCTGGTGCTCTATCTGAACCAAGCATGTGAGCTCGAATGTGCCCTCAAATCATCTGCAGTGCTATGAAGGTCCTGAAGGAAGCAATTCAGATGTTCCTTAACAGAAAAGCTGATGTGGAAAGCATAACCAAAAAGCAACATTCAAAAATGCATTGCACAAACTCCAAGCAAGTATTTGATGTCAATAAACAGCATGATAGGAATATTTTAGCCTTCACAAAGCAAGCATTGCATCATCTGATGTATCTAATCACCCTGGGCAGATTTTGATGCCATTCATGGATGAGGGAAAAGAAGGATGAGCAACAGCCTATGCTGCTGTTCTATTGGTGGTGTTCGCTCATGCAAAAGAGGAGGCAATTGTTGTGGATCCCTCCTTCCTGTTGCAGCCCCTTGCCTCCCCTCCCCAAATCTGTTACAGAGGGCTGGGGGACCCTCCAAAACAGCATGGAAGGAGTTGTGGGAGGCTAAAGTGGGAAGGGGAAATTGTTTTTTGATTTATTTATTTTTTTAATCACACCCCCATCTCTTATGTTACTGGGAAGTTATTATGTGAAAGGCAGTAGTGGCTATCGCTCTTTTGACTTACCTGAGCAAATGTGGGGAGTTTTTTTTGCGGAAGATTAGTTTATGAAAGTAGAAATATAAAGCAAAAAACTACACTATTGCTTCTAAGAGACTGATTTTTTTTTTTTACTTAAAGCTGGTTCATTTTCCAAAGCTGAAGACTGGTGCACATACTAGAGACACAAACTTATTTGAGAAAGTAAGGAAAAAAGGAGGCTGTAAGGCCTGCATAGATTTTAAACCATTGTGCCGACTATAAAAGAAACAGCTGCTTTGTCCAAGGCTCAGAGTTCTATACACCCCACTGATTTATCTTCTTTAAAAAATTATTTTGACAGCAAAAGGAAAAAAGACACTTGTGTTTGGCTTACCTCGTTGGCAAGTATTCACAAGTGCAGTTGCTTCGTTATATTTTGCAAATAGGCTCTGGATTACAGATACGTTTTCCAAGACTGATCCACTCAGAATCATTTTTAGTGTTTCTAAATGCACTAGGGCTGACAGAATGCAATCTAACCAGCAGAGAGCGTACACATTCCTCCACTGAAGCCACAATGGCTCTGGCCGAGATGGTTTGTCTTGATGGAGATTTTGAGACAATGATGAACCAATTTCAGGATCTGACAAAAGCTGTGCCTGAACACTAAAAATTTCTGGTGAACTTCCTTGAGCTGCCTTTTTCATGTCCATTTGCTGCTCCACGGATTCTGTTGCACTATTAAAGTTCGGCTGACTGGCTTCTGGAAAGTCAGGCTGCCCTGACCGAGTCCCAAACAGATTATCTCCACTGCACTTGGGAGCAAGATCAGGTTTGAATGCCTTCTCATTTTCTATCAAGTTATCAGTCCTCGTCAGTTTTAAGTGTTGGGGAACAGCAGAGGTTACCAGGCTTGTGTCAGATGACTTTCTTTTCCTACAAGTGCCCTGAGATGGAGAATCCTTTTTATCAGTAGGAATTATAATGCTGCTTAGTGGTTCAAATCCCAGAGGGTAGATACACTGAAAAAGAGGAGGGAAACACAAAGATATCTGAGTAAATTAATAACATGCAAAGTGGGTCTCAGGGATGCAATAGAGGGCTGTATACAGAAACAACAGCTATGCAACGCCTAATGAAAAATGAATAAAATCCAAATGTGTTTTAAATAGCACTTCTCTGAGATAGTAAGTTCTCTTTAGAATTCCATAACCCTTCACAGTCAACGGTACTATAAATTGGTTCATTGAAATCAGAAACATTTTTAGAAACATAAAAATTGGCTTGAAAGAGGGTATCTGCAGAGTAATATTTGGTTTTTCTCTCACTATTTTTTGAAAGGATATTTCTGAAATGTTTTTCTGGACATTTGATGTGCCTATTGCTGCTGCTCTCTTTTTTTCTGACTTTTACAAAAAGGAATGAAATTTCTAGTTTTGATGAATTAGGCTTGGATTAATCAGCGCTTAGTCTATGTACCCTTAGATCACCGCCCTCCCAGATTCTCCTACTGATTTAGCCTTTCCTCCTCCCACAACCACCACTTTTCTCTCCCTGTTCATCCCTAAGCACAAGCCATAATCTGTCTATCTATTCAAACATAATGTGGTTTAGTGAAACCATTATTTTGTATGCCAAAGAGATACCCAGTCATAAAACGTTATGGCAACTACTTAGGAAATTAGCATAAGTGTTCAGATTAAGAATCATGGATTATAGGAAAATTGGACCAATCCCAGCTCAACAAGAAAGAGTGATGCACCTGTGGATTTTCACACAAGAAAATAGATTCTTCAAAACTGATGTGATATATTCTTAGACCTCGTATGAGACCCTTCTTTTTGCAAGCTGGGCAACTTCCATCGGGAGTTACTTCTGCGGAACTGCAGTCCTGAAGTGATGTAAAACAAAGAACAAATGTGTTATTCTTGAGAGGCCAAATATTAAAACATGGTAAAATGACTTTCATAGCATTTATGTGTTTCAGAGTTAAATCTGACAGCAGTGAAACATAACAAATCAAATACAGATGAGAGCAAACGATACTATACATAAATTGGCTTTTATATTGACTGTTCGGGCTATTTGCACTGAACAAAATAGCCTTTACCATCAGTCTGACCATGAAAATATAACCAGCAATAGATCAAATGTGTTCATAAACTTTTGGGGAATAGTAACAACATTTGAAAGTAAATCTTTCGCCATTTCAATAAGATTTCCGTGGAAAAATAAATTTTACAATTTTTTTTTGAAAGGTCATATAAATTAGGCCAATAGAAATGAAAAACTCTCTCAAACTTGAGGAGGAGGAATGAAAAAAGAGAACTTTGCACAATGTGAAAGAGAACTGAACTGACTTTTCCCAAATACCCCACCATGTGGAGTGCAGATGCCCCTATACCAGTCACTTGCAAACCATTTCCAATCTTCTGGCAATCCATCATTCTGAGGCACTGGCCAAATTATCATGTCACTTGCAATTTTTCAACAGTCCTAAGGATTTTTTCCCCATATACTCTGAAAAATAAGAAGTGAACAAGAAAAGTTAAATAAGCTTCTTTTCCCCCGAGAGCAGTTTTTAGAAAGCACATTAAAGAAGAAAGATTTTTTTGTGTGGCATAGAAGTAGATGCATTTCCTTAAATCAAGAAAACCATATAAAGAAATGTATGTGTGTGAGAGAGAACCCACACCAAAAACCTACAAGCATGTAAAGCAACTAACTCGACTCAAAGTTCATATTTGTAATATTAACAGATGAATTAATAGCCCCAACAGCTCTTGAAAATATTGTTGCTGTTCCACCTGCAAGGAAATTAAGCAACTTGTGGCACAATCTAGGAAAGATGACAAAAACTGCATCATGTCATCCTAGGTGCTCTACACTGGGTGTGCTACGAAAACTGCTGTTCACATTTCAGCCCAAGCAAATAGACAACACTGCCTGATAAAGTGCCACCAAAGTTAGGCAGAAAGTCTTGCCTATGGTGTATGTGCCACGGATGATGCAGGTACAATGATGCCCAATCAATTAACTATAGATAGACTGGGAGCTCCTGCAGACATGAACATGTGTGCATCTCCTCCTTCCCTTCTTCCATTCTCTAGTTAGTGATCAGCCAGCATTAGGTGCAAGCCAGACCTCAGCTGTGTCCAATTTATGTCTGACCTGGGCCATTTTGGGGTGGGCAGAAAACTCATTTGATTATGCATTTCATTTCTCTCATGTTAAAATAAACATGCACCAGATCATGTGTATGTGCCAATAGCATTCTGACAGTCAACAGCATGGGCATATGCATGCCACTACCATGTTAGCTCACATTAAACATATATGGGTTGCTGTGATGTGGATTTAAATATGACCGTGAAGTACTTGAAATGCTTACACAGGTAAGGAACTTTCCTGTTATCTGGGTCATATATAAACTGGGTCTTTAAGAAGCTAGTGTTAACAGAAACTCCCTAGGTACAATTCAGTTCAATAGTCTTTTTTGTTTCTCTTGTACTTTGCCATTCAATATTTTCATGGGAGGGCAGATACGCTTTCATAGCATCAACAGCAGAGAAGAGAAATAATAATAAAAACACAGTAATTCTGAAAGGATCTGCATACAAGCAATGCACAAAAGCTAGTTAGTTCAGAGCTAGCTTGTGCTAAACTAAAACCCATTTCATTCTGAAATAGTACGTGAACATATTCTTCAGCTTTTAAAACCAATGTCAAAAACAGTCACAAATGGTGAGCAAAATCCCTACCATGAAATTTGTGTCTTTCCTGTGACAGGTATGTTCTGAGTTGATGTTTTCAGAGAACCTTCATGACAATGCCAAAGTTTCTTTCCTCGCCAGTTCAGATTCCATCAGTGAAGTTCAAAAGTTTTGCCCAAGTATCAATTTATGTTTTACTTACAGTGAACCCAACTTGCCATTCTGTTGCCCACTTACTCAGTTTGGAGCCTTCTGGAGTGGTTCACAGTCCACGGGTTTTACCACCACCCTGAATAATCTGGTGCCATCTACAAACTTGACCAGCTCATTGCTCTCCTCCTAACAATTTAGGAACGTGTTAAATAGCATTGATCCCAATGAAGATTCTTGGGATACCTCACTTCTTACTTCCCTCTATTATCAGAACTACTTTCTTGTTCTTTAACCAGTTTCTAATCCATAAAAGGACCTATCCACATATCCCTTGACTGCTAAGTTCTAAATAAATGCTTTTGGCTATAGACTTTGTTAAAAGCTTTTTAAAAGCCAAGACTTACAATATCTATCAGCTTGGGGTGTCAGTAAGCATGTAGATGAAGGCAAAGAACAGCAAAATATTGGTGAAGTAGGACTTCACGAGGATTGCTTATATCTTTAATAATGGTTTCCATCAATTCATCTGGACAAAAGCTAGGCTAGCTGGTCTGCAATTTTCTGACTTCCCCTAGATCTCCTTTCAAATGCTTAGAAGACCCAATAGCAGCCCAAGACCGTAATTTGGGTGCCTAGAGGAGATAACGCCCCTATTAGCCTTTACCCCTCCTAAAAAGAATACAAGCCTGCTAGCCATTGTTAGAACAGCCTTGCTTGGATTCATCTCCAGTCAGCTTGTCCACATAAGACCACTGACAGAAACAGAGTAAGCACTGAAACAGCAACACTTTCTCCTATCTTTATGTATACTCAAGCTACTTTTAAATATCTCATTATTAAAATCATGTGTTCTAAAACAGGCATAGAACATAGTCCATAACTATAACCTCACACTAGCTTTCAAACCAATTGTGAATCACTATCCTAAAAATGGTGCAGCCAATGGTAATACTTTCACTGAACTATTGGTGTGAAACCAATAGTTTCACAATAGACAACAGCACAAACTATTTTGTAACAGTCTAATAACAAATACATGCTTTTACTTCAGCACTACCTATGGAAATGACTGCTCAGACACTGTTTCAATTAACCAGTGCCCTACAACCTTGATTTCTGGCTGATCTCCAGATTTAGCAGCCATACTGAATACTTTGGCCTTTAACTATCTGGGGCCTTTTAGAAGTGAGTGGGATTTGAAAAATGTATTCCTCTTTCCCCTTGGTTTTAATTTACCTATGTGTGGTTTATTGTATGTTTGGTTGTAAGTTGCTTTGGATTGCCCTGGGCAATATAAAGTGACTAACACATTTAATACATAATAATAATAAATATAGTCTATCTCTGTAGCAAGAGTCCATGTTTATGTTCAGGATCAGTAACATTAAATGGCAATTAAGAAACTTTATTGCTTTTAATATTGTAATTCATTTATTTAACTGCTGATGAATTCTTTCCTCCAAGACACTTAAGGCAGCACAAACTAAACTAGGTGAGACACAAACAAATAATGCACACCCATGTCAATACCTGACAGAAATGTTGATTTGCAAAAAAGAACACTTGCAGCACCTTAAAGACTAACAAACACACTACATAATAAACTTTAGTGGGCAAAGAGAGCCCAGTTCTTTTGTAAAGATGCAGTTAATACCTTTGATCAGACAAGATTACCATATTAGTAATTCAAGTAGTTATGGACTCAACTGTTGATGGATTCATCCACATGGTTTCAATCACCATTTGCATGAGTGATTGTGAAATGATGTGTCATGTACTGGCAGCAATATAGGTATCCTGCCCATTGGAAAATGTATTCATTTGCATAATACACAAATATTAACAGAGTTTTTGTTCTTTCACCTCACCTCTTCTAGCTTTATGAAGCTAAGTTTTAAGAAATCACCTGCAATTTTCTTTTTAGTTTATATAAAACCAGGTTGCTGGATATCTCATGGTCAAATGATACTAATTTTGCAAAAAAAAAGCTCAACAACTTTGGCTGGCCCTCACGAATGTTCACTTCACCAAATCTGGCCCACTTTGAAAAAAGTTTGGGCACCCCTGTTATAAGCAATGTTGCCCTGCCTATTTTGCAGCAAAATACTGAAATGAGATGAACTGCTCCTTATGCTTCCTTAACATTATGGAGAATTGGGAATCTGAGGTTTATAGAGGTTTCTTTATAATGTAGAAATCTAAACACAGATATTCACAGATTTTGGAGAAAGCCATTGAAATAGTTATAGGTACAAATGAACTACCATCAATAGCACAAAGATAGGTGCTTTTACTTCATGTGTGTGGTCAACTGACTTAAGATACAAAACATGTTAGGGAAAAGACTTCAGACAAATTGTGTAAGAAAGTGCACTGTGGATTGCTGCAAATTAGTAAGAAAGTAATGAAAAAGTAGTAATGAGTATTGCAAACTGAACAAGTAAACCAAACCTTTCAGCATTTCCACACATCTATATTTGTCATAAGCAAAGCAAATCATGCCACTATTGCTGCTGGGCTTGGTCTGCTAAAGACACTTGAACTGTTCTGGCCACAAGGATTTTACATGCATTCAGTAAAGAAGATGCCAAACAATGCAATGAACTATGGTTGAACAAACAAATATATATTAAGACTGAAGTGGTCAATGCCAAATTGGAATTAAAAAGCCATGACCTTGCAATTATGTTTCAGTAGAAGACCAGTATTGCTTTGGCCTATGTTGATTAATATCAACTGAAATAAGCAGTAGAAATACCAATTAGTATAGTATTAATAATATTGATACAAGCACTCTGCTGTGGCATGTTCACTGGCTTAAGAACTGAGCTACAATGTATGTACCTTAATACTATAATGATGTTGTTTTTAAACAGTCTGCATAGAATTCTAACCCGCTAGGTACCATGGGTGGACTTGGTCCAGAAAGGCAGCTTTTAAACATTTAAAAAGGAAAAAGGCAACTTTGCATATATCCCAAACTAAAACTGGTTAGTTACAAGAATGCAGAATAAGAGATATGCTTTTCCATACATAAAAGAATTGTTCTAAAGTTTCAAATTTGGAGGATATATTTTAATTAAGGTTAGTAAGACTGAGAAGGCTAGGTTTTTAACTATATATAATGTTGTTGTACAAAAGTACAAATCCTTTGTATATACAACTGTTAACGTTGGAAACAACAACAGAATATAAAATATAGCAATAATTTAAAAAGGCACCAACAGCTATGAAATGCACTAAATGCTATAATATTTCTTTTAGAAGGTCTTTACAGTTCCAAATGAATGCTGGTAACTAACACTTGAAAAGTGCATGCTGTCCAGAAATACAGAGCAGCAGTCATACTATCTGTCAGTACAACAAATAATAGCCCAATTGCTATGAACTGGAACCTGATGGGAGTCAAACTCAGCACGTTAAAAATAAAGGCTACTTACTAACCCTACGCACCATTCCACCTGCTGACACATGCTGGCTGTGGGATGGGACTCTCTGTGTACAAGCATGCATTAGACTGAGCGGGAATCCAGAGCCAATCAGGAACACGTTTCACCTGGCCAAATGTGGGACTGATGCACACGTAGTCAGCAGAAGGCAGGACTAGCTCGTGATTCCCTCGCACATGTTTTCAGCATAGAAGACAGTTTGTGTGAGTGCTCCCAGTACCACATGCCCGGATTCCTTGGTAAATTGCCTTGCTTTCACCACCTGGTTCAGTATTCCCAGTCAACAACTGAATAGAATGCCAGTATCACCTTTGTATGACGACTTGCACAGATAATATGGCAAAAGGCACCTGATTTTCATTCTTTAACAACTCTGGCTGCAAGTACAATTGGATGGTAAAGCACATTAATAAGGTAGCTAATTTTTGTTAAATGATACCATTATAACAGAGAATGTTTAGGCTGCTTTTCCACTGTAGTGCTTAAGAGTTTGAAAAGAAAACCTAAATTAACGAATGGAAGTTGTTACGTCTAACTCCTGAGATGGCACATGCACCTTAAAGAGTTGCATGAAAAGAATGATTTCACCACTTGTAGGGGGTGATGTGTGTGTTTGTGTTTAAACAACCTTACTAGCGTGCCAGGAGGAAAAGCAGGTCCTGGTAAAATTCCGCCTTCTGTGCATGTCTGAGGCTTCTGGAACCCAACAGGGCTAAATCCCAGCATATGGTTCCAAGATCCCTCTCAAGATCTGAAGCTGCCATCATCAACCTTAGACCCGGGATCACTCGTCGTTCCGTGGGAACATACCCTCAAGGACCGGCATTTACTTCCACGTTCAAGTGCGTCTAAGCACCCAACATGGAGGGAGGTGCGCATACGGCAAAAAGCGAACCGCCGTCACGTGCGAAGCCACTCCCCACACAAAACAAGGCAGCTGGAGAAGGTTCCCCACGTGCGGGCAAGCAAGCAAGCCAGACGCGAAAGCGACCCTCTCAGGCCCGCGCTCCCCGCCGCGCGGATGGCTCAGGGGGGACGAGCCGAGCGCACCGTCGTCACGTGAGAAGCCGCCTAGACACCCGTGTAAGCAAAAGGTAACGCAAGCGAACACCAACGCCGGGATGATCGCAACCCGGGTTGCCACGAGGAGGAGGAGGTAGAGGAGCAGGGGCCGGCGGCTCCCCTTCCCCGCCCGAGCAGGGGAGCCCCGTGAAGCCGTTACTCACCGCAGGGCCCCCAGCGGGAAAGGAAGGCGGGACAGGCGCCAGGGGGAGAGGCGCGGCGGCTGGCTCCTCAGGCGACGCCGACGCCGCTCGTGCGTTCTTCAGGCCGGCTGAGGCCTTGTAGTGCAGCTTCCGGCGCCTTCCTCTCGAAGCGGCTTCGCGTCGCTCCTCCTTTTCCCTCGCCGCACAACCGCACTGAGGCGGGGCCTGCCGGGCCCGTGTGGGGAAAATGGCAGCCGAGGGGGCGGTGTCGGGCGCCTCCTTCTCTTCCTTCTCGGCTCGCGCGTGGAAGAGGGCCTCTTTTGCTTAGAGAAGGAGCCTGCCAGGAGCCTCGTTGTGTCTCTGGTTGGGGGGAAGCGCTGAGGAGATGAAAGGAGAAAAGTCGACCTTTCCTTACTTCGCCTCATGGCGGGAACGGTTCCCGCCCTTGCCGCGGCAGCAGCTTGCCAGGGAGACATGCGGGGAAGAAGCGGGACAAAGTTCCGCTTAACTGAGGCAGCCGCGCCCAGGATTTAGCCGTTGAAGAGGAAAGGCGAGCGAGGAGGCCACGCTGGGGAAAGGGGACGAAGGCATGGAGAAAGGGGATAGAGAAACGTTTGCTTCCCTCGTGGCACCGCGGGCAACCGGTGAAGCTGAGCGTTGGGAGATTCAGGACGGATAAAAGGAAGTACTTCTTCATGCAAAAGCTCAGGGTTAAACTATAGAACTCTCCCACAGGAGGCAGCTACGGCCAACAACCTAGATGGCAAGATGAGACAGATTTATGGAGGAGAGAGAGCTATGGATGGCTATTAGCTCTGCCTCCATTGCAGTGCTTCTGAATAACAGTTGCTGGAAATCGCAGGAGGGGAGAGGACTCCTGTGCTTGAATCCTGCTTGCTGGTTTCCCACAGGCGTCTGGTTGGGCCACAGTGAGAACAGGAGGCTGGACTAGATGGACCATCCGCCTGAACCAGCAGACTGTTCTTATGTTCTTAGCTGTCTCAATAGGGCTGGTATAGAGTGGAGGTGATTCAGCCCCCAAACCATATGCTGTTTGCTGGTTATTATCTCTAACTTGTACTTTATAGCAGGATGGTCAATCTGGTCTGTAGCAGCAAGCACAACAAAAACTCCCGTGGCACCTTGAAGATGGAGAATAAGTTAGTCCACAAAAACTTTCCCTGTAATAATAAATTTTGGCTGCATTCACATAGCAGTTTGTTCCATTTTCACTAGTTTTCTGTAGCTGTTAATTTCTACATTACTGTATATCTGAGCTTTCACACCATGTGAAAGATGGTTCCAGGACTGTAGTGGAAAATTGTGCAAGTTTAGCACTTATTTCCATATTATTTGCAAATGGATTTTTTTCTGGAAGCAAATAATGTGGAAATGAGCACGAATCTTGTCCTATATTCCACTATAGTTCCAGAAGTGACTTTTATGTCATGTGAAAGCTCACATGTAATGTGGAACTTAAAAGGGAAAAGGCATGAAAATAGAATAAACTGCTATGTGAATGCAGCCTCAGTCTATAAGGTGTTACAAGACTTCTTGTTTTTATATCATTTTATGTGCACATTTATGTAATTCCATATAAATGCTAGCTAACTTGAGACACATGGTTTAACTGTGAATTCCTTTGTTTCCAGATTAACCACAGACCTAAGCAGATGCAAACCACTTAAAGTCTCACCCAGGAAATAATTCTCATTAGAAGGTTGGAGGTTAAGTCATTTATAAGAGTTCTTCCACAAAGAGAGATTGTAAGTTTTGTGGTGTAAAATGTGTCAAAGATTCTGGTATCCTGTTTTAAAAATACTAGACAAATCTCTTTCCCAGTGATATGGGGCAGAACATTTTTCCATTTCATAAGCTCATTAGTAGTAATGAATGGGTGCAAATTGGCCAGGGGTTATATTTTAAGGATGTACATAGCTGTAACATTTCAGGGATAAATCTTTATCTTAATAGATATACTAATGGAGTTACACCTTGTTGTGACTTTGTTTCTATGTCATAGTCTGCAAATGTTACTGCCTTTCCTGATTCTCCACAAGACTGTCTTCATGTGGCCCATACCTAAAACCAGTCAAGCTGTTGATGAAGAATCTGTATATGTGCATGAATGCATTTACTGTATACGAAGATCTGACCCTTACTTTTACATTACCTCAACACGGTACCTTAGGGTGGCTCCTTTTTCTTGAGTGCATTCTAGTTTGAATACAACCAGCTTCCCCTGGTGTGGAGATGAAGTGAGGGGAAAGCAGTTCCTATTGTGCAGTTGTGGGCACTTAGTGCCTATCAGAGAAAAGGGGACCATTCTAGCATGATGTTTGCCCACTCAGGTGCATGCATGATAATGTGTAAATGGATTCCTGTTTTATGTTACTACTTGGCAGTAGTTGATTTTTAGATTCCAGGTCCCCACTTTTCCATATCAAAACTTCCAACTACTCTGAAATATCTGTATAGGCAGATTTTTCTTGAAGAAAAGATATGATGCATTTGAGGGACTCTTTTGAGGATACCTGCCAGAGATGATGGGTGTATGCACATCTTTGTATCAGAGAGTCAGTATGGTTGAGCGGTTAGAGTGGTGGACTAGGAGACCAGGGTTCAAATCCCCACTTGGCCATGAAACTCACGAGGTGACTTTGGGACACTAAGTGACCCAGTCTCAGCCTACCGTACCTCACAGATTTGTTGTGGGGATTACATGGGGAGCAGGAGAACCATATCCACCACCTTAGGCTCCTTAGAGAAAAAGGTGGGAAATAAATAAATGCCAAGGGGGTGGAGGGCATACCAGTGTAAAAAAATATACATTGCCCATTGCCTGGATTCTATACCACGATCTCTGCTGATCTGTCAGCAGGAAATCTAAATGAATCTAAACCAACCAGAACCATACCTCCTCTGCACAAGAGGGTGTTATAAGCAGACATGGGGTAACCCTGCAGTTTGCAGGAGTACAGAAAATATGTGGGGAGAAAATTCCAGTAATAGCTTAGTGAAGGCTGAGCATGGCTAGTACCCATGAAATGCTGACTGATTGGTTTTTTTTGGGGGGGGGAATCTGACAGTTGTGGGGGAGGAGGAATGGAGTGAAATGCCTGGATAAGAAGGATGAAGGAACCCAAGAATAGCCCTGCTGGGTGAGGCCAATGGCCTACCTGCTCCAGCATCCTTTTCTCATAGTGGCCAACCAGAAGCCTGCAAGCAGCACCAGAACACAACAGTGCAAGGAAGAAATGCACAATATGGAAGGAGTAGAAGGAACCCACACAATGTCTAGATAGGTCATTTCATGTTTCACACTGAGAAGCTATTTATAAATATTGCCAGGGATGGAAGTAAGAGCTGCCCAAAACAATCCACTGAGAACTGTGTGTGCTCAGTGGGCACAGACTGCTGACTGAACTTTTGGGGCTGAGGGAATGAAAAACCAGAGGGGGGGGGGGAAATGGAATGAAGTGGCTGGAATCCTGAAGTATTACACTTCAACGCTATATTGTCTGCTTGTATATACTAATAGTTGTCAAAACCTAGACCCCAAATCCCAGGAATCAGCTCTTATTGGTACAAATGGTGTCTAAAGCAAACCCTGCCAGGTAGTACACTGCTACCACTCCTTAAGCCCAACCAACCTGGGCCAGGAGACTCCCATAGCTTACCAGACACCTCTAAGATTCCAGAGAAGCAAAAGTTAAAAACCAGATTCTCCTTCCTAAGTCTTAGGTTACCAACTTACTCAGTGTCATATAACCAAGAGGTTAGGGCCTGATACAGTACCAAGACTTTACCTAAACAGACAGGCACCAGTTTTAAATGAAGTGGGTTTATTTAAAAGGGATAGGGTAAAAATGAAGTAAAAATAGTAGTAGTACAAAGCTACAATGGATCCCCAGGACCTGTCAAAAGGCTTGGTAGCTAGAAACTTCTGGCTCTGGTCTGTGTGCATTCTCACAGACTTCTCACAGCTGAAATCACTTCCCAGTTAGCCTGTTATGGCTTTGGCCTTGAAGCACAGTAGCACAAGCTAGCATAGGTGCTCCAACTTGAAACAATTCCAGTTAATGGGGGGAAACGCTTGCAGAGACCAGCTTTTACACAGGCTGAAGTAGGAAAGCCATTTTCTTGGCAATAAGGCATCTTGGTTCTGAGTGCTGGTCCTTACGTAGCCAAAACAATAAAATCCAAGTACAATGAAGAGTTATTAGCATGTTTGTGGGGAAACCCTGAGGTTGCAGAAGCAGAAAACAAAAAACATTAAGAGGGGGAGTAAATGGGACGCGGATGGCGCTGTGGGTTAAACCACAGAGCCTAGGACTTGCCGATCAGAAGGTCGGCGGTTCGAATCCCCGTGACGGGGTGAGCTCCCGTTGCTCGGTCCCTGCTCCTGCCAACCTAGCAGTTCGAAAGCACGTCAAAGTGCAAGTAGATAAATAGGTACCGCTCCAGGCGGGAAGGTAAATGGCATTTCCGTGCACTGCTCTGGTTCGCCAGAAGCAGCTTAGTCATGCTGGCCACATGACCCGGAAGCTGGACGCCGGCTCCCTCGACCAATAAAGCGAGATGAGCGCCACAACCCCAGAGTCGGTCACGACTGGACCTAATGGTCAGGGGTCCTGTTACCTTTAAATGGGTGTCCCCCTCTATAAAGAGTTCAATAAGAACTGAGTGTGCTCAGTGACAGCAGAACGCTATCTGATGGGGGGTGGAGGACACACAGAAAACAGTGATGGAATGGACTGAAATATTGAACAAAAGCACTCAATAGTTCAACATTCTGTTGCAGACCCAATGTAGTTCACTAACATGTTTTGATGAACTGGAAGTACTCCAACCAGAAGATTTATTACTGTCTGCCTCAGTAGTCCTAGTATACAAACTGGCTAGATGGCTGTCTTGTGTGGTTAAAAAACAACAGTTAAAAAGTGAAGTACATGTTTTATTAATAAACATAATTAATTGGAGACTCTTGTTTCCTTGTAAGCGTTTCTAGCATAGGAGTAGCAACAATCTTTTGATAGACAGTGATGGCTCTGTGGTAAGTATTGACAGGATGCTTTTTCCATCTTGATCACACAAAGGCCATATCAAAGAAAAAGCAGAGGAGGACAGGTAATAAAGAATGCCTGTATTTAAGAAAGTAATACTGTATTCTGAAGGTGATTGTTTCATGTGTATGATCTCAATGTGTGCAAACTATAACTAGTAAACAGTGTGATTCAAGAGACTACACATTGGAATAATAAAATTGAATCGAATTATCTACCACACAGGATTTTTTTGTAAGTGAAACTATTATTCACTAAATACAGTTTATCTGTTTTAAATATTTTTTCTTCTCTCAAAAACACAGACAGCAAAGTTAACAACAACATGAAAAAGCGGATGTAATTTAAAAATCCCTATAAATTTATTTACATTAAAAATAATACTCATTCAGCTAAAATCTGTAATCCAGAGATTAAAATTGATACTGATTCTCCGGCCATCACTGTCACCACAGCCTGTCTTCTCCTCGTTGCTATAAAACAGAATTTCACAACAGGCTTGATCTTTATTGGCAAGAAGGAATTTAACATAAGTTTCCTCTGAGCGGGTGTATTTATTCTGTTTCAGAACTTGAAATATAGGTTTGAATGTGCTTAGCAAGTTTCATTTAAAAAAACCAACTACAATACATTTCTATCTTTCTCAACCTGACACGCATGGTTCTCTCCTCAAAACAACCATGTAATGTAGGTTAGGCAGAGTGAAGGTGAATAGCACAAGTTGAGCTTCATATCTGAGTGATTTGAACCCAGGTCTCGCAGGCCCAAGTCTAACCACAACACTAAAGAAAGATGCTGCATTACAAACAAATATTGCTGAATAATTAACCAAGGCTTGACATTGCTTACCCAACATACTATAAACATAGTATAATCAGATTTAATATTGATTAGCACAGCAAAAGGATTCTTGGAATTTTTAGTTTCTTCTGCTTATCTATATACCGTATGTGAGAAACAATTTTGCCAATAATCGCTCATTATGCCATTTGGAGTTGTGTATGTCATAGTGAAGAGTTGCAAAATTCAAGGCATTTGTACATAACAGTTTTTACCAGGAAATAGACAGCAAAACAACCTTTGGTCAAGTTCAGGTACATATTATTATTTCCAGTGTCAAACTTTCATTATTCTGGGGGCTGTAAATTTGGCAGTGAGCAAATTAAGCATTTGCTCCCTCCTAAATGGTCCAACCACGCTGTATGCTCATTGGCTTTCAGGTTTCATGGAATTTTTAAAGTGTCAGTTGGGGATGTGGAAATGGTAAGAGGAACTGGTTTGCTTGAGTTCCTAACATGTCCCTAAGCAGCTGAGTGACAGGCTTGCTGAATGGAGGCTTTGACAATTCTTAGATTAATCCCTACTGCCAAGCCAGTCTTTACTTCTTTTGTGGTTTGGGGTATTTTTCAAAGAGACAGACAGATGCCAACAACAACTAGTGAACCTGAACGGCACTTGACTTCTTAGTATGTACCAATACAGTTTCCAGACTGGTTTATGATATTGCTACATTGCTGTGCGTTTTATCAATGACCAATAATTGAATTTATAACAAGGCATTGGTGAAAGTGCAGAACTTGACAAATGTTTCAGGTTTGTATTTTCAGTGGCTTGCTATTTTCTGGTAGGTAACTCGTGGAAGTAATGATGAGAAACTGTTGTCATCTCTTGAGAACCTTCCCAGTAATGTTCTACTGCATTCAGCGGTTCACCTCTCTCTCTCTTAGTTGTCTGTATCAGGGACAGGATCTGGAAAACCTGGTGTCAATCCAGACAATACTGGAATAGAAGTTTGTGGGAATACCCATTTATTGAGTTCACCAATAACATAGCATTCAGGCTCCTTAGTTATGTAGGTTTGCAGTTTGGGGTGCTTCTGCATTCATTATTGTACACAGACGTTCTGGAAGTGGTGTAGGTTACGAGCTGATAAGACTGAATCTATAGTAAGGATCAAAGGCAGAACAATAATTATTCATGCCTCTTTAACCTCTCTAGACTTCATGATTGATTACTTACCCCTGAAGGCTGTACAAAGGTTGCAGTCACACATCACCCCCCCTCAGTAATTGCTTGAGAATAGTTCTACAAAGTATCTTTCTCTCCTCCACATTAAAGTCCCTGCAGAGTAACTTCCAGAAGGAAAGAATCCAAAAGCTGCAGGTAGTGTGGTCATACTTTGTCCAGCCATACCTTGGTTAGGGCAAGTCTAAATGTCACAAAGCCATATTTCAAGTTCTTCATAACTTTTCATCAGGTTAGCTGTTGAGCAAACTGGATAGGGGAGGGGTGTTTGAAGACGCCGGACATGTATAACAAGCTTAAGACACAAACTTTTCCTGCACTTCAACTTTGTGATATTTTGTGTTGTTCTAATAAAGTATTACAGTGCTGTAACATTTGGGTGGTTTTGTACAGTTTTTGTTTGCTTCACGGGATTTTGAAACTATGAAAATGATCTGACAAAGGGAATTAACATTTTTGAGCAGCGGGGTGAGGAGGGGATGATAGACCGTTGAACCTTATTGTGGGGACCATACAGTGGAGTGCACCTCCAGGGGTAAAGTCAAACTACTGTGTTAGCAGCGTGGGCAGTGTGTGTTGCATTTATATCCCACCTTTTTCTCCAAGGAGTCCACGGTTCACCCCCCCCCCTCAGCTAATCCCTACAACAACCCTGTGAGGTAGGTGAAGAGGTTTGACTCAAAGGTCACCCAGTGAGCTTCAAGACTTGAGTGGGGATTTGAACCCAGAGCTCCCCAGGTCCCAGTCTGATACTCTAACCACTACACCACACTGGCTTCCTAGAGTTCTTTTGCTCTTGGGCAGCTTTATAAATTAAGTTGGTAAATAAATATGGGGAAAGCAGAATGTCCTTGGAGATGGATCTGAAATATTTTCCTAGGAGCTTGAATTTGTTTTATTCTGGACGGTTAGATTGGATGTTTTAATATGTTGTGGACGACTTTGAGATGTTTTCTTTAAAATGTAAAGTGGTATAGAAATGAAATGAATAATAATAATAGTAAATTGTATGGTAAAAAAAATGGCACCTAGACATTCTGTTAGGCGACCGTAACCTAACGGTCTAGTCCAGGGGTCAGCAAGGTTTATCTTGCCTGGGCCAGATCGGTCCCACAGAGATCCTTCCTTGGGCCGGATCGCATGCATGCACACAATTTTCGGTGTCTGTGCATGCACAGATGCGATTTTTGGTGCCATGGAAGCAAGTCCCTGTGCTGCACTGCGCCGGTTCAGCGCCGCACGCGAGCGGGCAACTCTGTTCAGGGGCGGCTCGTGGGCTGGTCAAACGATCTCCGCAGGCCGCTTCCGGCCCATGGGCCTTAGGTTGCTGACCCCTGGTCTAGCCCAACCCCTTGCAATGATTCCTGCATTCCAGGGGTTTGGACTAGACGACCCTTCAACTCTGTGATTCTGTGAAACTTGGTTTAAGATGCCATTTGGCCGTTAGCTTATATATCTGAGTTTCTAACACTGCCTGGAATCGGAGAAAAAGACGGGATATAAATAAATATAATAATAATTACGCTGGAAGCTGCCATCCCCCAAGGCAACTATTGTCTGCACTGACTGGCAGCCGTCTAGGGTTTCAGGCGGGGAATCTTTTCTAGCCATATCTGGAGATGAGGTGACTGAGCCAGAGGCGATGTGGAGACAATGTGGGGAGCGATAGGAACACTCTGTGTGTGTGTGTGTGTGTGTGTGTGATGTGCAACAAGCTGAGTGACCTGCCTTGCCTTTCAGGGATGCTGGTGATTCGTGTGTGTGGCATCGGCCAGGCTCCCCCAGAGGCAGGACTCCTCTCTCCACAGAACAGGTGGGCAGTTAACCAGCTCTCTGCCCTTGCTGCTGGACTCTTAATCTTAGGGCTGTGGGTTCGAGCCCCACGTTGGGCAAAAGATTCCTGGAGTGCAAAGGGTTGGGCTAGGTGACCCTTGTGGCCCCTTTCAGCTCTGCCGTTCTATGATTCTATGACATGGGGGCAACTGGCTTACTTGGACAGTACCAATGTCCACCTAGCATACCTGCCCTTTCCCAGTTTCCAAAGCTGAAACAGCAAACCACAAGCCTACACTGAAGGAGTGTGGTTCAGAGAAACCCACACTGTTTGCCACGCTTTAGCTACCCTGAGCATAGGAGCCAATTCTTAGGGGCCCAGGTCATAGAAACGTAAGAGTTGGAAGGGACACTAAGGGTCCTCTAGTCTAACCCCCTGCAATGCAGGAATCTCAACTAAAGCATCTATGATAGATAGCCATCCATCCAGATGTAAAACAGATCAACGTTTGACTTTTAGAAGACATCTGAAGGCAGGTATAGGGAAGTTTTTAATGTTTGATGTCATATGGCCGCCAGGAGCATATAACACTGGTCCTAAAGGATATTCACTGGCTCCCAGTTCATTTCTGAGCACTGTTCAAAGCACTGGCGATTACCTTTCAAGCCCTAAATGGCCTTGGCCCACTATACCTGAAAGAGCATTTCCACTCCCATTGTTCATCCCAGACACTGAGGTCCTCCTCTGAGGGTTTTATGGCAGTTCCCTCACTGCGAGAAGCGCAGTTACAGGGAACAAGGCAGAAGGCCTTCCTGATAGTGGTGCGCTCCCTGTCAAGGAGATAAAGAACTATGTAACTTTCAGAAGACACCTGAAGGCAGTCCTATATAGGGAAGTTTTTAATGTTTGATATTTTACTATGTTTTATATATGCTGTAAGGCAACCAGAGTGGCTGGGGCAACCCAGTCGGATGGGCAGGGTACAAATAATAAAATTATTACTATCCCAGCACCACTAACGGAGTCTGCCTTTTTCCTCTAGACGTTGCCGCTGCCGTCATGAGTGGGAAGTCACTGCTGCTGAAGGTCATCCTCCTGGGCGATGGGGGTGTTGGGAAGAGCTCTCTCATGAACCGCTACGTCACCAACAAGTTTGACTCGCAGGCTTTCCACACCATCGGCGTGGAGTTCCTTAACCGGGACCTGGAGGTGGACGGGCGCTTGGTGACCCTCCAGATTTGGGACACGGCCGGGCAGGAGCGCTTCAAGAGCCTGCGGACCCCCTTCTACCGGGGGGCCGACTGCTGCCTGCTGACCTTCAGCGTGGACGACCAGCGGAGCTTCGACAACCTGGGCCACTGGCAGAAGGAGTTCCTCTGCTACGCCAACGTGAAGGACCCCGAGCGCTTCCCCTTTGTGGTGCTGGGCAACAAGGTGGACAAGCTGGAGAGGCAGGTGATGCCCGAAGACGCCCGGGCCTGGTGCACGGAGCACGGCAACTACCCCTACCTGGAGACAAGCGCCAAGGACGACACCAATGTGGCCGTGGCCTTTGAGGAAGGTGTGCGGCGGGTGTTGGCCGTGGAGGAACAGCTGGAGCGCTGTGTGCTGGGCAGTTCCATCAACTTGCATGCCAGCAGCAAGGCAGGCTCTTCCTGTTGCTGAACAGCCAAGGGGGTGGGTGGGAAGGGCACGTCCTGGAACAGTAAAGGCCTGTGGGGGTCGGGCTGTAGGCAGAATAGGGGCAGGGGGCTTAGATAAGTGTTCAAAATCCCCATGCACCAGGCATATTTGGCGACTGGTGCCGGTCCAGTTGCGACCTTCTGGAGATCTCTGGATGCCAGGTTGGCGATGAACAGCTCCATCTGGGTGGTCCCTCCAGCTTTCTTAAGTGGGTCAGCAGAAGAGTTTATTTATTGCATTTATATCCCACCTTTTTCTCCAAGGGGTCCACGGTTCTCTGCAATTCAGTTAATCCCTACAAAAACCCCGTGAGGTAAATGAAGAGGCTGTGACTGACTCCAAGGTCACCTGGTGAGCTTCAAGACTGGTGATTTGAATCCAGACCCCCCCCCCCCCCAGGTCCTAGTCTGACACTCTAACCACTTCACCACACTGGCTTCCTAGAGTACTTCTGCTCTGGGGCAGCTTTATAAATTAAGTCAGTAAATAAATATAGGGAAAGCAGAATGTCCCTTAGAGAAGGATCTGAAATATTTTCCTGGGAGCTTGAATTTGTTTTATTCTGGATAGTTTTATTGGATGTTTTAATGCGTTGTTGAACACCTTGAGATGTTTTCTTTAAAATGTAAAGTGGTACAAAAATAATAATAATAGTAATAATAATTTCATTTTTTTAAACCGTAACCTAGATTTAAGGTGCCGTTTAGCTTATCTATCTGAGTTTCTAACACTCTTTGAGACCCATTGGCTACCTTTACCTGGTTTAGCTGGCCAGTTGAAGCTGTTCCTGGGATGTGGCCGCTGTCACATGCTGACAGCTTCTAGGAGCCACAGGTGAGAGCTGAGTGCAGAGTGAGGACCCAAGGTAAACCTATACATAGGGCCCCACCTATAATTACCCTGTCTGTCATTTAGGAAGGCAGTGGAGGCAAGGACAACAAGAAGGGCTACTCTACTCAGGCTGTCTCCTCTGCCACCCTCCTCCCTGGGCAGGCAGACACTGTATGTGAGGGAGAAGGAGGGAGAGAGATAGGGACAATTGGACTGCCCCCCTCTCCTCCCTGCTCCAGTTGGACCACCCCCTCTCCTCCACAGGGCCAATAGATACCATATTCCCTGTGGGAGTGACAGGGAGAGTGGGGGAAGCAGGGATAAAATCTGGGCCTGCTCCAGTTGAACTGCCCCCTCTCTCCCATAGGGCCGAGGGACACCTGTGAGAGAGTGGGGAGGTAGGCAAAACAGCACCGGGGCCTGCTCCATTTGGACTGTTCCCCCCCCCCCACCTCCCACCATCACTAAGAGATGCAATTGCAGTCAGCCTGTGGCATTTCTGTTCAGGACTCAAATTTATAAAAGATAAAAACAGTAGTCCATTCCAATAGCCATCGTTGGTGATAATGCCAGCTTTCTAGCTACATAATCCTAATTTGATATGCTAATTTAATGCCCATAGTAGCATGCTGCTTAATTTAGACTTAATCAGAACTGTGGGTTTTATTCATCCACAGTTCTGATTAAGTCCAAATTTAATAGATGGGAATCAAATTTGCTGATTAATTCTAGTTCGCCCAGTTGAGACTCCTACTGCCTTTTTACGGCTGAAGTAAGGTAACTTAGAGTCAGAAACTGTGCCCTGGAAAGCTAAACATTCTCCCACTAGTTTCTGAATGCTGCTCTTGTTGGTTCTTATCAATGCAAGCTTATGACACAATGCATACATAGGTTAGTTTTTAAGGTGCTATAACATGGCTGCCTTTCTAGAATATGTCGTTTCTGAGGATTGTGATAGACAGAAATATTTTATTTTATTTATTTATTAATATATTTTTAATAGATAGATATGTATGTGTATTTGTCCTTTGTGCACCCTAACTCAACACAAGACTTTGCTGGGCAAGAAAGCATGGGGGTCTCACATGTGGGAGGAATTAGGAGAGTCAAGTGTTTCTCTAATGTGCCACAGTGCTCCAAATGGGGTTTGTCATTCGTCCTGCAGTGAATATGTCAGAAAGGCAGGTTGCCTAGGGGAAACTGGGCAAAGCAGAACTCAGACGATCAAAATGAGACCAACTCTGCATTGCAGAGATGTCTGCAAACATGACATGAAGGCTGGCAACATCAATCCCGCCATGTGGGAATCTCTTACAGACCACAGTGCCTGGAGACAGGCAAACAGGTCGTGCATCTGCAGCAGTGACCAGAGGAAGAGCGACCGTTGGAACGAGCACAAAGAGAAGAAAGACCATGATGCATTTGCAGCAACACAACCTGATGCCTTCACCTTCCTCAGCTGCAACAAAACATCTCTCCCATATCAGCCTCTACAGCCACAGCAGGTGCTGTAACTCTCCAGTGGTTTGACTTCATCCCCAAAGGTGTACTTCGTTGTCTCCCGAGACAGAAGGTTGTCAGCCTCCATTGCCTCATGAGGCAGACGGAGGTTTAGGTCACCAATAGCAAGTCAGGATGGGTGAGAAGTTCAGGGTAAATCAACTCTGCTGCACCCTAGAGCCGTTCCATTTGTCCTGCGGTGTCCCCTCCACACACAGCCTCTCCTGCTGCAATTAGGCTTGGGGGGGAAAAGCATTCTATTTTAGATATTTCCTGGGCGGGGTACTGTTTCAAGGGGGACCTTTTTTTGAGGGCATGTCTAGAGAATGAAGGCTTAACTCCACTGGCCATTTGGAGCTGGGGCTGATGGTAGTTGGTGTGCAACAACATCTGGAGGGAACCACATTGGCTCCATGTTTTAACTAATGGATTATCTGCAGGGCTGTCTTTACTTGATTTTTTTCAAACTTTACTTGGTTCAAAGCTGAAGCAGAGCTCCCACCCAAGGAATGTTATTAATTTATTTAATTGGATTTATATCCCACCTTTTTCTCTTGACAAGCTCAAGGTAGCATACGTGGTTCTCCCCCTTATTTAATCCCCACAACAACCCTGTGATGCAGGTTAGGCTGAGAGGCAGTGAGTGGCTCAAGGTCACCCAGTGAGTTTCATGGCTGAGAGGGGAGTTGAACCCTTCCCAGGTCCCCATCCAGTACTGTAACCACTAAACCACATTACCCAGTGTCACCATTATTCTCCTTTGGACTCTGGGCAAAAGTCAGTTTGGTTTGCCCAAGCTATCAACACTTCTTACTATTTATTTGCTGAAGGGTATTTTATTGGTGTGAACTACTGCTTGCTTGTATTCCCTTCTCTGTTTTAAATGCTCTGGATATAGTGGAAATGAGGATATAATTCTTACTAAATTAAATTAAAACCTCTAAATAAAATGCTAGCTGTAACACTGTTCCACACTGTTCCTGCATCTATGTGGACATGCCAGTTTGCAGGCTTTAGTTTAGTTTAAATGGTGCAGATTGTATAATCCAATTTGGTTTACAAAGTAACATTCTCTCAGATTAAAAGCAGTACCAGCACTCTGTTCTGCTACTGACTCATTTCCCGGCACCTGGATTTCCATAAAGTCTAGCATCGTCGACTACGGACTTAAAATGTATAGGAGGTATTTCCTTATCTAGAATTCCATTTAATGAGAGAGCAGAAGCTTAAAATGAGAGCAATCTCCACAACAAATGGAAATAGTATGTGATCTTAGACATTTTGAAAAAGATTTCTGATAAATTATAGAGATTCCTCAGTCTTGCCATAAAATAGGGCCAGAGAGCTAAGAGCACATGTTGGGGCTTTCCGAGCATGAGCTAGTGTTATACTACTAGACTGAGTCTTGATGCTTTCTGAGTTGAACCATTTTGACTGCCTTTTCTGTACATGGAAGTAAACCACATTTAATTTGAGGCTACTGCAGCAGGTTACTGAAAAACCATTCTGGAAGGCCCAGCATATCCAGCTCTGACTTATTATTGAAAAGAGCTCACCTCACAATGCAACAGGTACATGTAAGTTACGAAAGTTTTGTAGCAAACCTAAGAATTACATAAGAACATAGGAAGAGCCTCATGGATCAGGCCAATGGTCCATCTAGTCTGGCATCCTATTCTCACAGTGGCCAACCTGATGCCTGTGAGAAACGGGAAAGCAGGATTTGAGCACAGGGCCACAGATACTAAGAAGCACAAAGCTTTACTTTCAATGAAGATGGTGATGCTGCACTTGGTGGATTTCTGCCTGACAGGCTGTTTTTAAAGGTATGGAACCGCTGTTCATAAAAGAGCAACCTCAGATTCAGCTTTGGCATTCAAAAGCATGTTTATCGCACGGAAAACTTTCTGTTACAGGGTAGTTTAATAAATATAATAATAAATAGTGACTAATAATGTAAACTCTACTTGTTTTAATTGCAATGTTTTTATAACCTGCCCTGGGACCCTTTGGTAAAGGATAAGCTAGAAGTATAAATTAAATTTAAAAACACGTATTATCTCTATCACTAACTTATGTGAAGGACAAGTTCTCAATATTGGATTTGCTAAACATTTGCTAAACCCATTCCATACAGGGATTGTAATGTTTTATATTGCCCCAATTGCATAGTAAGTCCCTAATATCACTACTAGTTCCTAAGAATGTGGGGTGCTAGTATAAAGATTCTGCATACAGTTAGGATATTATACATAGTGATTAGCTTTGAAATGTTATGTTTTATTTTTCACACAGGAGCCAGGGTGAACCAATGGTAGTATAGTTAAAAGTAAAATATTAAACTGTTGACTAGTATTTAGAGCTTTGGATAATTGGAAGTAACATATTGAGTATAGCTCCATAGACAGTAACTTGAGGTGGGCTGTCCTTCAAGGTGTATTGAAACCCTATCATAACATAGTGGAAAATGGCAAAACCAAAATATGGCTTGTATTTTAATATAGCAAAATGTAATAACATGATTTTAATGCCTGCTATTTTGCTTCTTACTGAAGAATTGGATATAATGCTGCCTACTCACATTCTCTTGTGTCTGTGAAAGGCACAGACTTGTGTATGTCTTCTTTGAAAGATAGTGGAAAGACTAGCAAGTGAATGTGGAATAAGCTGTAGCTGCAGTTCTACTGTTGGGCAGTAGTGTTAATATTGATTAAAAATACTGGCTTACAATATATTACCATGGAAATTCTGTAGTTTAACTATGAACATTATCACAAATAGCTGATTTGTGATATCGGACAAGCAGGATCCGATTATGAATGTCCTATAAAATTCAGACAATGTTTCCTGTGTGTTCACATCATACTTAGAGTTCACTTCATTGTAAAAGCTTGCTGTGGGGTATTCTTGTAAAATGAATGTGTAAAAAGAATGAAGAAAATGTATTTAGAGGAATAATGTGTATTAAATTTCTATAAGTCTCTTTCTGATGAGTGCATTAATCTCCTTGGACCTCAGTTTATTCATATAGAAAATGGGACTATTTCTTATAGGTCTATTGTGCTGCATTTTTTACCTGCTGGGATATGCTATGGAATGTATATATAGTTGGCACGTGTGTGTTTCAGATCTACGGGCCAATTAATCACAGTGAATCTAAGGGAAGTACCTTTAAGAAGTGCTTGCTTTTTTCCTGCCTTAAACAGCAGGGACTAGGTAGGTGTATGGTGAAGTTTTAGGACCCTTTATACAGGCTGTGGGGGTGCTTATTTGGGAATGGGGATGACCGTGTACCTAAGGGAACGAAGCTCCTTTTGCCTCTGCTGAGACTTACGCTATTGCCTATGAGCTGCTCTCTTCATACACCGCAGTACAGCACTAGTTTCAGCTTCAGAGCTGTACATCCCGCCTCAGCCTTCTCCCTCTCAGCCAGTTTTATATTTGCGCGCCCTTTCAATCCCCGGTGACGTGTACCCCGCCGCGTCCAACCGGCAGCCTCCTCTGGTCAGGACAATGGAAGGCGTTCCTCCAACCAGCGCAGCTCCTGCCTCGGCGGCAGCCAATAGAAAGAGCCCTGTGTTGAGAGTAATGTTACCAGCGCTGAGAGAGTGAGGAGGCTGCGTATCGATCCAGCTCTCAGCCATTGCAGTGAATTGGACTACATACGAGATCCAGGCAGCCTCGGTGGCCGGCGCGCGTGTGTTTGTGGCGTGTGTGAACCGAGATCCTTGTCACGGGGTGAGTATCCTGCGGGGGGTGGGGGGGTCGCTGCCTGGCTGGGGGGGAGGCCGAAACTCCCGAGCCTCTGTGGGGGTTGGGGGCGGACGGCGTAGTCTTTTTGGGGTGCGAGGGGGGCAGGATTAGCCCTCACGAGACACACAAAGGGGGGATTTAGGCTGGGAAACCACACTTCCCTCAGCACCGGGGAGGAGGGGGGGCAGGAAAACACCGAGCTGCTCTTTAAAAGGCGGGGGGGTCGGGGGGGGGGAAAGCCCCAGATCGACACCAAAGTGGGGAGTTTTGAGAAGTGGTTGAAGGGGACCCACAAATGCCGGGAAAGCGCCTTTCCTCTCCTGCCCGGATAACCGCGGCCGGGCTCGTCTCTTTAAACCCGTGGAAATGGGGCGGGGGTCTGGGCTGAGGCGGGGGGCGGCGGCGGAGGGAAGCGGTCTTGAGTGCTAATAAGCTGCTTACATAGCACGGGCGATAGAGCCATTGCAGCAGAGCCGTCTCTCTATGTAATGTGTGAGAGAGCCGTGTGGGGAGACGGACTTCGCATCGCGGGGCTGGGCTCGAGTGTGTTTGTGTGAAGGGGTGGGGGGGGGAAAACGGGGGTGTCGTGTCCTCCTTTCTCGGCCTGGCTCTCTCCCCGACCCCCTTTCCCCTCATTGTGGGGAGCCCCAAGAATCCCCGGGAGTGTCTCTGGGCGTTGTTGGCCTCGGGGCGATAAATCACCTCGGGAGCTGCGCTTGCTGTAACATGGCTGACGAGAGCCGTGTGTAAGTGGAGGCAGAGGAGGAGGAGGAGGGGGGAGGAAACAAGGCAGGCAGGGGGAGGCGCGCGCGCACGGGCGGGCGGGGGCGCAGTTGAGGGGAACTTTTTCCAAGGCGCCTTTTATCCCTGGGCGACGGAGAGGGGAGAGCTCCGCAGGCGACCGTTTAAAAGCCCGAGTCCGGGTTCAAAAAATAAAATTATTAAGGGGGGAGGTTTTGGAAAGGGGGGGCCCTCTGGCAGCTCTCAGTGGAAACGAGACGCTCCCCCCCCCGCCGCCTCATTGCCTGTAATGGCTGAGTGTGTGCGCCAGAGTACAGAGCGCACCAGGCACACGCACACACACACACAAAGGGAAGGAAGGAGCCATATTCTCTATGAGCAGCGGCCATTCCGAGAAGCGGCTTCGCTTCCTGCTCGGCTGCCGCGGGAGCCCATGCAAAAGGAGCGCTTGCCGCTTGCTATTGCCGCCGCGCGGGCGAGAGGCGACCCCGGGCCCCGCGCGCCCGGCGAGAGCGCGGCCTCCCCGCCTCGGCTGAGCGCCCGCCACGCGCATTTCGAGGGGACTTTCTCTCATCAGCAAGGCGTGCGCACAAAATGGAAGGAGATCTGCCGCCGCCGCCGCTGCCGGTGGTGACCTTCTTAGGCAGCAGCCTGCGCCATTTATGAGCCCTCCCTACTTCCCTCCCTCTCTCTCTCTCTCTCTCTCGCTTTCCCGGCTCGTTCGTGTAGATTAAGGCGCACCGAGAAGAATCCCAAAGCTCTACAGCTGCAGCTATATTTATTGTCGGGCGCCGTCCTTGGAGCCTGAGTGAGCACATCGAAGCTCGTGGCAGCGTAGTTTCTAAGAGGGGAATGCAATTTAACGCGACGAGCTCGAAAAAGCTGCGCCTTGATCATTTTTATATCTGTGGGGTGGGCTTTAGTTTTTTGGGGTTTTTTTTTACCCCTCACCTCGCGAAAAACTTTTCTTTCCCCTTCCACAAATTATCCCCTTCATAATTAATACATGGCTATGTGAAAGGGGGTAAATTAAAATATTTATAAAATTCAATTTTTAAGGTTGAAGTGATTTTCCCCCATTACCCTGTAATGTAGGAAGGGTTCAGCAGTGGAAGGAGCATTTTAAATAACACTTGTGAATTACATTTTCAGAGGTACATTTTATATCACGCTTTAAATCTATTAAGTCCCTCAAGTTCCTTTTTCTGTTGTTTTAATTATTAAGTTAAGCCCTAGCAGCCTCGTGTCTTAATTCTGAGAGTGCATTTTCAGACCCAGGCTCCATTGTAGACACCAGCAGCTCCTGGCTTTTAAGTGTTGTTTACTTGACAGAAACTTTAGACCGGACATGTTTAGTCAGAGAACACAAATCTTTTTCTGTCCGCATGCCAGACTGATAGGAAATTATGCCTTTCTGTGGCAATGCCAGTTAGAGCTGTGCACATTTCCATCGTCAAGTTGTGCAGGCTGGAGTAGAGAGGTACTTTCTTCAACATGAAGAACTTCAAGAAAAGCCTGGTCTGTACTAGGAATCGTTACTTCTCAGAAAGAAAGTGTCAGCACAAATATGAAAACTGTAGGGCTTAATCTGAAAAAGTGAGAATGTGGGAAGAGCCCTTTTGGATCAGATCAAAGGCCTAACTTATACAGCATACTTTCCCACACAAGCCAGCCCACAAGCGGGACATCAAGGCAGTAGCCCTCTCCTGCAACTGGTATTCAGAGGCATTCTGCGTCTCATTCTGGAGCCAGCAAGTAGGTTTGATCCCCATATGGGACAGCTGCATATTCCTGTGTTGCAGAGGGTTGGACTAGATGGTCCTCAGTGCCCCTTCCAACTCTACAATTATATGATTCTATTACTGTGAGAGAAATAGCTGTTATAATTTGTAGCCCTTGATAGTCTTCCCTTCATGAATTCGTCTAATTCCATTTGTCAAGAATTTGTCACAATTGGTGGCCATCAGCACATCTTGTGGACACAGATTCCGTAATTGAGCAATATGCTTTGTGAAGAAGTACTTACTTTTTCCCAAATCTCCCACCATTTGACTATTGAATGACACCAGTTTGTAGTACAGGTGGGAACCATTTCGCATGCCCCACCCCCATTCTGCCCTCTTCTGGGTCCAAAAGGACCCATTCATCAGTTGTGTGTCAATTGGATATGCACAAAATGGTCATGTCTCCCCTTAGTTGCTTTTTTCCAAAATAAAAAGCCCTAAAGGTTGTAACCTTTCCCCATGGAGATCAGAACCATACACAGCATTCCAGTTGTGGTTTTACCATAGATTTGCATAATGACGTTGCAATAGTAGCAGTTTTATTTTCAGTCCTTTTCCTAATGATTATAACATGCACCAATGTACATCATTTTACATATGCTTACACTGAACCACGTTTGCTATCTCAAATTCCTCAATTTTGGAGAGAGTCTTTTTGAGATCTTCACAGTTCCTTTTTGGTTTTCCACTCTCAATAATTTTGTGCTGTTAGTGGTGATGGCCAAGTTTGCTAGGTCCAGATAATTTTTGAACAAATTTAAAAGTATCTGGTTCCCGTACAGATTCTTGAGGGATCTCTCTCTCTCTCTCTTTTTTTTTTTTTGGCACCTCTCTATTGTGAGAAATGTCCAGTTTTTTTGCTTCCTGGTTTGTTAGCCAATTATTGATCCATAAAGGGACCTCCCTTCTTATGCCAAGGCTAGGTTTACTCAGGAACCTTTAATGAGGCAGTTTGTTAAAAGCTTTTTGGCAGCCCAAGTATATAGTGCCCACCAAATCTGTCCACAGTTCTAAAAGTCACAGGGCCATGGCTGGTTCTCATAGCATCTTCTGCAAAACTAATGCCCTTTTACAAGCACAAGCCACCTCAGATGATGAAGCAGCTATTGTGCATGAAAGCTCATCCTATAATAAAGCATACTCTTTAATTTTTTTGTACTCTTTATATTGGTATTTGTACCCCAGTCTAGTAAGCATAACCTTAGTGTGTAGTAGTGCTTAATGTGTGTAGATCTCCTTTTCAGTACTGGGTCCCATGTACACAGTGTTAGAAACTGGGATAGGAATGCTACGAGCCATGTGGCTCCTGGGACCTATGCTGTGGGTGCCAAAACAAAATGTCTAGGCACCTTTTAAAAAAAAATTGCTGCCCCGCTATGAGACCAGGCAGCCCCACAGAAAAAGAAAAAGCTGTCAGGCGAATCAAGGGATTTGCAGAATAGCGTGGGACCAAAAAAACCCCCAAAAAAACGTGCACAGGAACCAAAAGAAAAAATGGTGTGTCTTTTGCTGCTGGGCAGGGGTAGTGCAGTAGCAAAAGACATGCTTCTTTTGCTGCTGCTGTTGCAGGCAGACCAACTGACTGCAGCAAGGCAGGTGGAAATGCTAGGTGCTAAGGGTGGCTCCTGAACATCTCCATCCAGTCGCAAAAGGCAGGTTACCAGTCACTAATTTTGAACACTGCATGTACGTGAAAGGATTTTTCAGAGTTTGGAACTCCAGATCTAGTACAGTGGTACCTTGGGTTACATACGCTTCAGGTTACAGACTCCGCTAACCCAGAAATAGTACTTCAGGTTAAGAACTTTGCCTCAGGATAAGAACAGAAATCGGGCTCCGGCGGCGCAGCGGCAGCAGGAGGCCCCATTAGCTAAAGTGGTGCTTCAGGTTAAGAACAGTTTCAGGTTAAGAACGGATCTCCAGAACGAATTGAGTACTTACCCTTTGGTACCACTGTACCTGATGCGCAAGTGGAGTGATCTCTTCTGTCTTAGGTTAGCCTTGCAGTGCTAGGGAAGACTAGTTATCAAGTCTCTTATCAATGCCAAACAGGTTGTTATTCTTGTCAAAGCAGACTGTGCCTACCATTAAGTTTAGGTAGCCGTACATATGCCACTGCTGAATACAAGAAATTTTTTTATTGAGGTTATAGACTAAACAAATTGTGCTTTGAAAAATAGCTTAAAAGGGTGATTCAAATTGAAAGGATTCACAATATTTAGTGCTTTTCTCTCAGAACAGTAATTGAAAACATTTTTGCCTATAATTTGGTATCAGTTTTCTGCAGTTCTAGCAGAACTTCATAGAATTTATAGTTGCTTCTATGGAAGACTTGCAGTTGGGTAAAGGTAAATTTCGTGTTTGGGGGATGTACTAGTATACCTTTTCTTATATCAGGAGTTCGCCTGATGTTGAGATGGCGGACTGCATAATAATTAAAAGTCATCCTATAGCAACATGTTCTGCATTTTATACAGATTTGTAACCAGTCGCCTGGTTTGCAAATCCCTTTAAACTTGAAAGTGAACAAACAGCCAAAGTAACCACGAGTGGTAAGCCAAAAATAAACCTTGCAAATCAGTGCTTGTGGTTCATTTCTCCCTAGCAAATCATGAATGGTAAGTCAAGAGCAAGCAATGGTTTAAAGTGACATGCTATCTGGGACACTGATGTGCAACTATTTGGTTGCCTAGATAGTTGTCCAAGAATGTAGCTTTAAAGTATTAAGGGAAATGGCTCAGACTGGTAGTTTAAGCACTTTTTAATCGTCTTCTTTTTCTTAGTCTACTGTACAGCATGGAAGCCCCAATAGTTCTCAAATGTTTCTACTTTGTCTTTCAGAAATCATCCAAAATGGGCAAAGGTGATCCTAAAAAGCCAAGAGGCAAAATGTCCTCATATGCCTACTTTGTGCAAACCTGCCGAGAAGAGCACAAGAAGAAACATCCAGAGGCTTCAGTGAACTTTTCAGAGTTCTCAAAAAAATGTTCAGAACGGTGGAAGGTAAGTTGTTATTATTGTTTTTTGTTTTAATAGTAATACTTTAAATACCCAAATAAATGCAATTTGCCTGTAGCTATTTCTTAGGAATAGAAAACACACTCACTAATAAAGTTAACAAATTTAGAATGGAATTGGGTATAATCTTGAGCTGAGGATGCATACTGAATTATTTTTATAGACTATGTCTGCTAAAGAGAAAGGAAAGTTCGAAGATATGGCACGAGCTGACAAAGTTCGTTATGAAAGAGAAATGGAAAGTTACATACCACCTAAAGGAGAGACGAAAAAGAAATTCAAGGACCCAAATGCACCAAAGAGGCCTCCGTGAGTAGCTTTTATGGCTAACATGCATTGCGCTGATAGACATCCAAAAGAGTGATAGATGAATGGTGGGGAGGCAGAAATTTCACTTTTTTTATAAATATGGATAGGTCTGTTCTGTTATATCGCTTTGCAGTACATAGTAAAGGTTCTCACCTTGCTGTACATAGTTCAGTAGTTCTAACCTTTATGTTTCAAATGTTTATAATTTAATTTTCAGCTCAGCATTTTTCTTGTTCTGCTCTGAGTATCGTCCAAAAATCAAAGGAGAACACCCTGGCCTCTCTATTGGGGATGTTGCAAAGAAACTCGGAGAGATGTGGAATAATACTTCCGCAAATGATAAGCAACCTTTTGAAAAGAAGGCATCCAAACTGAAGGAGAAGTATGAAAAGGTAGACTCCAGATAGCCCCTTTTGCCATTCAAATATTTGTTGTTGTCATTAAATATATTGGGTGATGTACAGTGTTGGTCATAGTAGACCTGTTAAAATTTGAGTGAACTCGAGTATGGTTAAAATTGGATGTCAATCATAGGAAATTAATGTTAAAAGGAATGGAGCCATACGCATGCTTGCATTTTCTCTGGAATGTTAAATGGTACCAGCAATCTCTATTGAAACTAAGAACATTGGGTATTATAAACAAAAACATCCATCTGTGGAATATATTTCCAAGTAACTGTTCTTTGGAGCTAAAATACTAAAAAGATCTGATGAAACTGTTGCTTAATTTAAAAAGAAAAGAAACTTGTAGGCTATGTGAACTAAATGTAATCACTAATAACGTGCTTTTATTTGGAGCATGTGTATTAATTGCTATAGTTTGGGGGGGGAAGTGTATCACTCCTAATAGTGGCTAATATTGTAGCCAGTACATTGCTTTCTTTATTTTTAATGGTTGAGGAATATTAACAGACAAGTGGTTGGTTTTTTTTACAAATTCAGCATAGCTTGTGAACAAAATAAGATGGTCAGACTCTCAGGTCACTTTCATGTACTTACTTTGCCTTGGAAGAGGGATGACTATGTACAAGAAAGATATCCAGCTTGCAAAACCAAATGTGAAGGGGACTCACCTGCAAGATTCTGCAGGTGCTAATCTAGTAAAATGTTTAGAAATAGTGACCAAAGAAAGATCAGGCTGCTGCTTCTGAATTTGAAAAGAGTACCCACTGACTGCACAGCCTTTACACTTGATCGTTTGCATTTTGTGCTCTGGTGTTCTTTGTAACAGAGCATAGTATAATAATATATTAAGCCACTCATAATTGAGAGAATTAATTAAGCCATGGTGTAGATACTCTTGTCAGTGTGGTACTGAGGAAGATCTAACTAATGGCACAATTCTATGAGCCATGGATGTAGAGCAGCAAGATGGGTAAAAAAAACAACCTGATCATTTAGGACAGTTAGGGAAATGAGAACAAAAATTTGTTTGAAACCCTATACTGTACTTAATTTTTTTAATGTAAGCTTGACATTGAGTTTATTGAGGCTTGCTGTATTAAGTGTTATGTGCAAGTCAAAAAGAGAAACTTATTGCATGCTGAAGGTGGCACTGTCTACTCATTAATTGAAGTGCATGAAATTTATCAATAAAGTATTAGAATTCTTGACTGAGTGTACTGCTGTACTGAACTGCAGTAGTACAAATCTTAGACAGTCATCTGAATAGGCTCTATGTTATGAATTACAATTCTGTCAAATATAGATTCCTGTCCATTTTCATTTAAGTGGTATTCCCTTCCCTCTGTGTCAAGTAGCTAAACTTTCTCTGCTTCTCCTAAGGATGTTGCTGCATACAGAGCTAAGGGGAAGCCTGAGGTAGCCAAAAAGCTAGCTCCACCTAAGCCTGAGAAAAGCAAGAAAAAGAAGGAAGAGGAAGATGATGACGACGACGAGGATGATGATGAAGAGGATGAAGATGAGGACGAGGAGGAGGATGAGGAAGAAGAGGATGATGATGAATAACCCTCTTTTAGATCAGTTTTTGTCTATAAAAGCATTTAACCCCCCTGTACACAACTCACTCCTTTTAAAGAGAAAAAAAATTAAACATAAAGCTGTGTAAGATTTGTTTTTAAAATGTACAGTGTCTCTCTCTTTTTCTTCTTTTTTTCTTTCTTTCTCTCTCTCTCTTTTTGTATAGTTAACACACTACCGGACGTGTCTTTGGGTAGCCCTGTCCTTCAGTGGTATCTCAGTGGCCGCTAACCTTGCCTAGTACAGTGAGGGGGTTGTAAATTGGCATGAAAGTTTAAAGCAGGTTCCTTGTTGGTGCACAGCACAAATTAGTTATACTTGCAGATGTAGTTGGTTACTCATTTTCATCAGTTGTCTGCATCAAAAAAATAATAGTTGATCTGTTAACTTAAATACCACTCTGTAATTGCAAAAAAGAAAAAAAAATGTAGCTGTTGACATTCTGATTGCTTCTAAGTAAATACATTTTTTTTTTAATTAGTATTGTTGTCCTTTTAATAGATGCCCTTGTAAAGTCTTTCTTTCTGGAAAGCATATTCTCTCTGTTATGCCCTTTGGGGATCACATAAAAATGGCATTTTTGTTTCTTCATTCCTATAAGCTGATACAAGAGCTTTGATCTACGCCCTAGATAATCATGATAGGGTAAATATATACAGGCATATGCAAAGCGTTGTGTGTTTTTTCCCCTTCATATAAGAGGCCACTTTTTTTTTTGAGAACCCTGTTCTTAGCCAATCTGTATTTGCTCAGCTTTTGCTTACATACAATATTCTACTGATTTGTGTAAATTTACCAGTTTCTGAGGGCTGAGGAATATAGAATTCAGTTCAGTAGCATGGAATAATTCCAGGGGAAAATAACTTCAAATTTGTGTCCTTGGAGGACCACTGAGAGTATATTTTCATTTTGAGCTGTGAGGGATTTACATATGTGACTCCATTGGCCATAATGAGAGTTGTATTTGCAAATACCTGAATACAGAGGTGAGTGTACCCTACTTAAGCAGGTAATGTCAAATGCTAAAATTACTGTAATCCTTTTAGGATACCATGTCAAGTAATAGTTGTGGGCTTTATACAATGACCTCTCCTGGTAGTAAATGTCCCACAGGAAAATATTTTACTTTACTAATGTTTTCTATAAGTGGTACCATTGTTCAATCTGTATGAATTCATGCTTTCATAACCATAGTAGTCCTAGACTATCCCATTTTCAAAATTTTATATTGTCTCAAAAGTCAGATGAGATGTATCTTTTTCTGTTAGTCTTTTTATAATGCATTCTTGATATTTGCCCATTTTGTAAGTTAAAATTAGCTGTATAGGGAAATTACTTTTTCCCCATATAGGTGTGAGATGTAACATGGTATTCCAATGACCTCTGATTTGATAAAATATAGGTTGCTTTGAAAACCAAAGTTAAAAGTTTGTGCACGTTCAGTAAAAGTGCTGGCAATTATTAACTCTCTTCACATTTACCTGCGGACTAATTTGGGAACTGATTGGCAATTCTGTAGTTAAAAATTATGGTTCTCATGTGCCAGTGTTTAAAGATAGCATTCTTGTAACTTTACACACTTTTTTGATGGAGTATTGTTTTGTTATACGATTTTGACTTTTACGATTCTTCAATTTTGCATTTGTTTATGTATAACCTCAGGAGAATACTGAACATCTGATTTCCTGGTTGATACTAATAAAACAATAATTACAGAGGTTTTATATATTTAGTTAAATGAGTTTATTTTAAATATTATTTCTCTTTACAGTTAAATGCTTCAAATATGTTGTTAAATAATGGCAATTCAGTAAATTGCACTTCAAGGTAATTGGTTATTGGCTGAAATACAAAGCTAACTTAGGATCCATGCCAAATTCTAGGTAATGTCCCCATCCTACATTGTTTTGGATTCCCCCCCAATACTCCAGAGGCTTTTTGGGATGTGCTGGGTGTAACAAGAGGTGGGGAACTGTAACTTCCTTTACATTAGAATCGGGGCCACAGTAACAAGCAGCAGTTTTGCTTGCCAAATGCAGACCTGGGGTTGTCTACATCAAAGCTATGTTTTCACCTGTACAACCAGTCCTCCCTTTTCCCCTCTGTGTGTCCTCCAAACCTGATCCAGAACAGATTTAGGGAGTGTGCAGGTTCTTGTGCCAATGGGACAACTTGGTTGGATACGGCCCATAATTTGCAAAGCAGTGTAAATGAGTGGTACATCATCTAGGCTTTCTGTAAATGTAATGTTACTTTTCATAAAGTTAGGAAAGCTGCTAATAGGCACATTGCAAATCCTTGAAATGAAAAGAGGGAGTAGCTGAGTCTGCACAGGTCCATGCAATAAAGTTTTAGTCCTCAGCAGGATAGGGACCAAGAACTGCATCCTGGTAATACAAATGCGGTACTTTTGGGGCGAGGATGAGTGCTAGTGTCCTCTGTTTTTGAAGATGGACTTCCACTTTCTGGAATTTATTGAGTTGCTTAGCTCCAAATAACTTTGAAATGCTTCAGGCCAGATACTGCTCTTGGAACTGTTTGCACATCTTTCTCGGTTTGCTTCAGGACTTGCGTTGTGTATGCCAGGGCTGTTCAACTTCCAAGAGACTGCGATCTACTCCCACTATTAAAAAAAACTGGCAGTGATCTACCTATTGGATTGACCAGAGTTGTTGAGCTGTTTTGGGGGGTGGGCATCAGGATCCCACGATCAACCAGGGACACACTGCAATCGACTGGTAGATTGCGATCGGCCTGTTGGACAGGCCTGGTGTATGTTAAAGCAAACCTTTATAGCTGGTTTTCAGACTTGCTTGCCAAAGTATTAAAAATGGGGATTACAAAGGCAACCTAGCAAAAAGAGCTGTTTTTCTTGAGAAGCATCAAAATGTAGTGTACAAGTATTTTTTGATGACACGCTCCCGTTTATAATGGATTGATTTGTTTAATGTTTCAGAACTGTAATGTCTGCTATCTGAAACCTTAGTCCCAGACACCTGAGTAGCAATAATGTTTGCTTGATTGAGGGGTAGGTGCTAGGCATGCCACACACCTAATTTAATGTGTGAGACAGGCACTCCATTCAGAAAGCCATTCAAGCAGTGGTCTGAAGTGGAAAGGGGGGGTTGTTTTGAGAAGATATATAATTGAAAAGATCCCTCTGGAGGCACCAAATTTTGGCCTCACAGGGCAAAGACACTCAAAGTCTGTTGCTGTGTCCCCTGAGAATTGGGAGGACGCAAGATTTATGAAATGCCTCAGACTTCGTAATTCCCAAACTTCTAATCCATCTCCCAAATTTAATTTTTGCTTCTTGCCTACAGAGAACAGGGGACATGTACATACATGGCAGTAACAGGGAACCTCTAGCCTGTGGGACTTAAAAGATGATTTTTCAGGCTCTTTAGGGCAAACCACACCAACCTTTCCATGGTCTGATGACATTTGAGTGCGGGAAACTTCCAAGTATTGACTAAAAGGTTAAAAAAAAAAATCCTGAGCAAATGTCAAGCGAAGGAAGAATTGGGAGTTCGACTTCAAACCTTCCTTTTAAATGGAGTGACCGGGCATCGTGCTGACATCAGTTGAATGACGGGTGACCTACATGAAGTAAGCCCCATTGACTAGAAGGTGAGGCTCCCAGTAAATGCAATGCCAAGCAAAGCGAAGAACAAGGGTAAGTTTTAGTGAGGCTTGGAGATCCAGGGTATTCTGGTGAAGTCTGCAACCCCATTACCATGAGTGGGAAAATGGGCCTCATCCTGGGGCCCTGACGGCAACAAAGCCTCTGTGGTCAGTGGTTTAATTTCAGAAATGTGTAATTTAGCATTAAAGTCACCACTTTATTTCATGATCCATCTACGGCAGCCTTCCTCAACCTGGTGGCCTTCAGAGGTTACGGGACTACAACTCCCATCATCCCTGGCCATAATTCATGAAGAATAAGGCTATCTAGATTCTAGACACTATGGCTATGCTCCCTTCTCCACGGTCAGAAGCAGTATGCCTCTTGAGGCCAGTTTCTGGGAATCGCAAGTGCAGGGAGTTTTTCTCGCACCCAAATTCCGCTTGTAGGCTTAGATGGGCCTTTGGCTTGATCCACCAGGGCTCTTAGGTTCTTTTGAGAGGGACTATACAGTGGTACCTCAGGTTAAGTACTTAATTAGTTCCGGAGGTCCATTCTTAACCTGAGGTACCACTTTAGCTAATGCGGCCTCCCGCTGCTGCTGCCGTGCGATTTCTGTTCTCATCCTGAAGCAAAGTTCTTAACCTGAAGCACTATTTCTGGGTTAGCGGAGTCTGTAACCTGAAGCGTATGTAACCTGAGGTACCACTGTATTTCAAGTTTGTGCTATCCCCCTGCCACGCCCCACGGTGCTTGGGCCTAGCAGACCCTCTCAGTGTCCCCATTTTCCAGGGACAGTCCCAAATTTACAGAAGCCGTCCTGGTTTCTGATTTGATCCCGGAATGTCCTGCTTTTCCTTAGGACGTTCCTATTTTCACTTGAGAAATGTTGGAGGGTATGGAGTTGTGTTACCCCTAACTTACAGTCTCCAGGCACTGCAGTCATGCACAAGGGATTCCCACACAGCAGGGTAGATGTTGCCAGCCTTCATGTTACGCATGCAGACATCTTTGTAACTCAAAGTTGCTCTGCCAATGGGCCTGGTACCTGAAGCCAGCTCCCTGTAGAGCGCATCCTTGGGGATCCTGCTATCTCTTCCATTCTTTTGGACATGAACAAGCCAGCGCAGTCTATGCTGAGACAGGATTGTGAACATGTTGGGAATGCGAGCTTGGGAGAGCACATCGTTGTTTGAGCGTCTGTGCTGCCATGCCACTTATTTCAGCAGAAATCAAATCTGGAATGAAAGGATATTCACTCACACACCATAAAAAACAATAATTTTGGCACAGCTGGGCTTCTACATCTGCTCGGTCATCATAAATATTCCCTTTAATTTTAATCTAACAGCCAGAGACAAGCAGTATGAAGAAGTATGTATTCTTTTTCATGTTCTTACTCTGAATCACATACCACCCAACATTTCTCCGTTGAAAATAGGGACGTCCTACCTGTTGTTGTTGCTTACTATTATATCTCACCCACTCTGGGTGGCTTCCAACATATATAAAAACATAACAAAACATTAAATATTAAAAAAACTTCCCTGTACATTAGTATCTTGGTTCTCAAACACCTTGGTACTCAAACAACTTGGAACCCAAACACTGCAAACCCGGAAGTAAGTGTTCCAGTTTGTGAACTTTTTTCAGAAGCTGAATGTGCTCCATTTTGACTGTTACACTTCTGATTTGAGTGTCACACTTCCGTTTTGAGTGTTAGGCTGAGGTCTGTCTGTTTTTCCTATTTATTCTGCGTTTTTGTTTTTGTGGCTCGCTCTTCGTTTTTGTGACTGTGTGGAACCCACTTCAGTTACTGATTGACTGATTGTGTGACTGAAGTACATTGTTTATTGCTTTCATTTTATGGAGCAATGGTCTCGTTAGATAGTAAAATTCATGTTAAATTGCTGTTTTAGGGGTTGTTTTTAAAAGTCTGGAACGGGTTGATCCATTTTCCATTATTTTCTGTGGGAAAGCATGCCTTGGTTTTGGAAGGCTTTGGTTTTGGAACAGACTTCTGGAACGAATTAAGTTTGAGAACCAAAGTACCAGTGTACAGGGCTGGATTCAGATGTCTTCTAAAGGTTGTATAGTTACTTATCTCCTTGACTTGGGGAGGTCACATAACTCCATACCTTCCAACATTTCTCTGATGAAAATAGGGACGTCTTACCAAACCCATCAACATTTCCCCAACAAAAATAGGGGTGTCATAAGGAAAAGCAGGACATTCCAGGATCAAATCAGAAACTGGGACAGCTTCTGTAAATGCAGGACTGTCCCTGGAAAATAGGGACACTTGGAGGGTCTGGAATATTAGTGTTTGAAGGCACCTCCCAGGGTCATCTAGTCCAACCCCCTGCAATGCAGGAATCTCAACTAAAGCATCCATGACAGGTGGCCATCCATCCTCTGCTTAAAAACCTCCAAGGAAAGAGAGTTCACCACTTCCCGAGGGAGTCCGTTCCACTGTATAACAGCTCTTCCTGTTCTTCCGAATGTTCAGTTGGAATCTCTTCCTTGTAACTTGAAGCCGTTGGTTCAAGTCCTACCTACCAGAGCAGGAGAAAACAAGCTTTCTCTTTCTTCCTGAAGGAAAACTGCATGCTAAGGTCTGCCTTAAGAACATAAGAAAAGAGGAAAGCGAATTGCTAGACACATAAAGGGAAGCTCCACAGTTTCAGCTCCAGGAGGTTTTTTTGTTTGGGTGCAAGAATGGGCAAAATGCCCTCAGTGGGACCTGTCTCTGTCTGGGCTTAAATCCTCCTTGCTGCTGTCGTCTCTGTGCATTTGGCTTCTTCCACCATCCACACCCAGCGCACAAACACTCAGAGATGGCAAGGTGAACAGAGGTGCTTGCTTCCTCCTACCACTGCTCAGTTGCTTAGGCTGCAGCGGTTCTCAACCTGTGGGTCCCCAGATGTTGTTGGACTACAACTCCCATCATCCCTCAGGGATGATGGGAGTTGTAGTCCAACAACATCTGGGGACCCACAGGTTGAGAACCGCTGGCTTAGAGCAAGCTGGCAGAAGCAGCAAGGAGGCGGAGAAGCAGTGTCAGGGGGGCCCGGGGCCCTCTGCTGAGGTGTGGGCCTTTGCAGATGCCCAAGAATACTGACCACCAATGTCTGCATCAGGTGTAGGGGAGCAGAGCAGCAGAAGGCAGAGATACATCTGGTAGAGCAAGGGAACAAGAACGTTGCAGAAGCAGAGTGACAGGCAGATGCAAGTCAAAGCAGAGTCAGTTTATGGCACCAGCAATGTTTCTCATTTGCTGAGTGCAGTCCTCGCCTTCCCTGAAAGTTTCAAAAGTTACGTGAGTCAGCTAGCAAGTAATTACTTACCTGTCAGAAAAGGCACCGGGGGCAATGGACACCGAAGCAGTGATTTCTTCATGTGCTACTCATTTTAACGCACACCTAAGACGTCGAGCGCAAATCTGAAACGATTTGCATAGCCATAATGCATGCAAACTAATGCAGCAGATTAAAACGGCAAAGTAGAACAGGAGCAGCCAATGTAAAAAGATGATAAAATCACAAACCGCTCTAAATGAAAGAATGCCTGTGTTAGCAGTCTTTTGAAAGCCTAGGAAAACAGAAATGCTTTTGCCTGGCAGCTAAAGGAGAGTAATGAGGTCTCCAAGCGGGACTCCTTGGGGAAAGCATTTCAAAGGCGAGGAGCCACCACAAAAATGGCTCTGTCTCCAGTCTCTACCCACCACACTTCAGATGGCAGTGTACCCGGAGAATGGCCTCAGAGGACCATTTCATTGAATGGGTGGAGTGATATGGGAGAATGTAGTCCAACAAATATCTGGTTCGTAAGCCATGTAGGAAGAGGGCCAGTTAGCTCAGGTGGTTAGAGTGTGGTGCTAATAACGCCAAGGTCGCAGGGAACTTTCTTGTCCCCTTCATGGATCACTGTCTGGCCGTGGCGAAGGGGCTTGAATAACTCAGAGAAGCTATGAACTATGTCGTGCACCCAAGATGGACAGGTCATAGTGGAGAGTTTTGACCAAACGTGATCCACCTGGAGCAAGAACCGGCAAGCCACTCCAGAGTCCCATAGACTGCAAGAAGATCAAACGTATCCATTCTGGAGGAAATCAGCCCTGAGTGCTCACTGGAAGAACAGATCCTGAAGCTGAGACTCCAATACTTTGGCCACCTCATGAGAAGAGAAGACTCCCTGGAAAAGACCCTGATGTTGGGAAAGATGGAGGGCACAAGGAGAAGGGGACGACAGAGGACGAGATGGTTGGATAGTGTTCTCGAAGCTACCAGCATGAATTTGACCAAACTGCGGGAGGCAGTGGAAGACAGGAGTGCCTGGCGTGCTCTGGTCCATGGGGTCACAAAGAGTCGGACACGACTAAGCAACAACAACAACAAGCCATGTAGGTTCAGGTTCAGGTTCAGGCATTAAAGGTTAAGTGGTGGATGTGACCAGTGTTTGACAACATGCAACTTACAGGTACACTGAGCAGAGGGTTGAAGATCCACAGTACAGGAACCAGACCTTCTGTTGCAACATCTTCCCATTGGAATTCCCTTCCTGTTAAATATTAGGTCGCCTTTGTTGTCTTTTGGGGACCTACTGAGCATCTTCCTCGTCCAACAAGCCTTCAGTTTGCATCTGCATTGGAATTGTTTTTGGATGTTTTTATTGTATTATGATTTGCGTGTTTGGGCTCCTTCATGAAGAAGGAGGGATGTAAATTGAATAAATAATAATTGACTGTGATTTGCTGTTGAACATACACACAGTGGCGAATCTGAGGGTTTGCTGCGCCATGTGTGAAACGGTAGGCAGGTGAACCCTCTGAATGTAGGCATCCACGCCACATTCTTCTTTGGGTGTATTTATGTAAAAAAAATCTACATAAAAATTAGGGTAAGCGTTGTGGGCCTACTGGTATATGCTGAAGTATGCAGTTTTCAGTGATTGTCAACATAACTGAAGGAATAAAAATAGTTTGATTGGTCCAATTTCTCTTCCGCCACATTTATGCTCCCAAGCTTAGTGTGATATTATTAAACTGTTTGTTTCTGTGTGCTCTGTAAAAGGAAATTGTTAATAATTTTGGGGTATGCTTCAGTTGCTCATTCTAATTACTTGTGAGAGAAAACATCTGCAGACTTAACCACACTGTTAGGAAGACTGAAAATCAGATTATTCTTTCCACAATACATTAAGTTGAATGAAATAAGGTAGCAAATCCAAACTGTGAAGCTTGAAAGCAGACACATTTCTCATCCACACTGCTATGAATTAGGTCTAATTAAAATAACTTCAAGTTGATTTATCAATTAATCAACTGAACAACTGGGATCTGCAGCAGAATGTTGCAGTGTATTTGCAGTGGTCTTATTCAAACAGCTTCCAAGATACATCATTTTTCTCTCACAAACCTTTTCTTCCTCTCTTTCCCAACTGAGATGCAATATTGCATGGTTTCTGAACATGTTCAGTCCTTCCTTGGCTGCTGCTAGGTTGTTGTTTCTTTAAGGGGGGTTTCCCTCCTAAAAACAGCATCCTTGAATAATCTGAGGTCCCTAGGGACCTTGCAGCCTTCCAGAAGCATTGGCTGTGGCTATTGCTTGCCTACAGTCACCTCTTCTGAATTGCTTAAAAAAAGTAGAGGAAATGCGTTTTTCAGAGGGCACAGATCTACGTCAAAAATTGCACGTGCTAATGTATGTGTATAATTAAAAATCATTACTATAATTTAAATAGAAATATATCTTACTATAGTGGCTGGGACCAAATAACCTCTGTGCCCGCTTAGATGATGGGTAACTCACACACCCCAACATTTCTCCGGTGAAAATAGGGATGCCCTATTCAATAACAACAACAACAATAAATAATATTTTTTTTTTATCTGACTGGGTTGCCCCAGCCACTCTGGGCGGCTCCCAACATATATAAAAACACAATAAAACATTAAAAAGATTCCCTATACAGGACTGCCTTCAGACGTCTTCTAAAGGTCGTTTAGTTCCTTACCTCCTTGTCTCAGGGGTCACATCAGTCTATACCAGGCTTCCTCAAACTTGCCCCTCCAGATGTTTTTGGCCTACAACTCCCATGATCCCTAGCTAGCAGGACCAGTAGTCAGGGATGATGGGAACTGTAGTCTCAAAACATCTAGCGGGCCGAGTTTGAGGAAGCCTGATCTATACCCACCAAGATTTCTCAGGTGAAAATAGAGACGTCCTAAAGAAAAGTGGGACATTCCAGGATTGGGACGCGGGTGGCGCTGTGGGTAAAAGCCTCAGCGCCTAGGGCTTGCCGATCGAAAGGTCGGCGGTTCGAATCCCCGTGGCGGGGTGCGCTCCTGTTGCTCGGTCCCAGCGCCTGCCAACCTAGCAGTTCGAAGGCACCCCCGGGTGCAAGTAGATAAATAGGGACCGCTTACTAGTGGGAAGGTAAACGGCGTTTCCGTGTGCTGCGCTGGCTCGCCAGATGCAGCTTGTCACGCTGGCCACGTGACCCGGAAGTGTCTCCGGACAGCGCTGGCCCCCGGCCTCTTGAGTGAGATGGGCGCACCACCCTAGAGTCTGTCAAGACTGGCCCATACGGGCAGGGGTACCTTTACCTTTACCTTTTAAAGAAAAGTGGGACATTCCAGGATCAAATCAGAAACCGGGATGGTTTCCGTAAATCCGGGACTGTCCCTGGAAAATAGGGACACGTGGAGGGTCTGGCAGCTTCGAGGCCCCTCCTGAAATCCCTTCTTGTGGTTTGTTCTCTTTAAAATAGAACTCTGTAAAATAGAACTCATGACCCTCCTATGTTTGCCACATTTCTAGAATTGACAGAAATGCTAACTGAACCTACAGCTTGTTGTTAGTTTGCTTTTCAGGACTTAAGCACGTTGAATCCCAGGACTGGGTTTTTCCGTTTATAACTCAAGCCATAAGCGAGATTCTTGCGGCAGCAGAACTGAAAAACAAAGAGTTCCTGCAGCAGCTCAGCTATCTGCAGACAAGGGTATTGCAAAATGTGTCATTTGAGGCGGATGCTTCTGATGCAGCCGTATGATGAAGGAGCCTCTCAGACCAAAAATAAAAAAGCGTTTGCTTGCAGGATAGGCCTCGGCCCAGTTTCTCTCGCAGTTTGGGTGCTCCAGGGTTGGTTTGCAGATGTTGCAAAGTGCAACTTAGTGCCACCCAGTGTTGGCAACTCGAAAAGGAAAAGGTTATGTTGGGTCACAACTGAGCGTTGTTGAGTGAAACACAGGAAAAAATATAATCCTGCCTCTCACTCAGTGTGTCAGAGGTGAGCTTGCTTGTTTGGAGCAGCGCAGCTCTAGTGGAGCATAGAAGCACAGTTGCTAGAAGACGTTGCTGCTTTGAGTCACTCTGTTTTGTTTTTTGCTCCTGCGGTTTTTAAAAGGCCTTTTCCAAATAATTTAATATGTTTTGAACAAAGCGAGTTCCTTTTGTAATATGTCAGGCTGTTGTGAAACGAGGCCTCCTGCTCCAGCCATCCAGGACTCTGAAGTTGTTACGAGATTGCTGCAAGGCAGATGTTTAAGGCTGTAGCTCAGAAATGTTTGCAAAAGGTTTAAGAAGCCTCATTTGTAGGCCAAATTATTTCTCTCACTGTCCAAGGTGAACAAATGGTTGCACCCACCTCTTAAATTAAACTTGTGCCTTGAATTTTGCCCATAGGCATTTTTACCATATATTAAGGTTTTGCTTGTCATTTCAGACAAGAAGCACCTTTACAGTGTGAAATGTTTGAATTTTTTAAAAAAGGAATATTTAAAACTCTATAACTAATCTTTTATTTAATATTTTCTTTTTTCAGGGTTTGTTTGTTTTTTACTCATTCATGGAAATGCTCCTTTACAAATGAAGGAAATGTATGCCTGTTTTTACTTGTGAGTAGGAATGTAAGAAGGTATGGCTTTTCCTATATCCTATATCTGCCATATGCAGCACTGTTTCCATTCAGCTGCGGTTCATCTTCTGCCAAAAACGATGTGATTTGACTTACTGTCCACTGGGGCTTAGGCAATTGACATCGCTTATTACATAAATTATGTATGTTGCATTGTCATTACATTATTCCACCACATTCATTTCAATGCAGAGGAAACGCAAGGCAAATGAGGGAGATCATAATCAATTACGGATTGTTTGCGGATTGAAAGGAACAATAGCGAATATCTATCAAATTCACTAGATGGATTTCCGTTCCATACATGGGGCAAATAAAGAGGATACCACCAATTTCCATTTCTGTTTTGTTTTAGTCCAAATTCTCCAACATCCCTACTTGTAAGTCAAGCATGGATATGGCCAGCTATTCCTGGATACTTGGCATGTACCCATTTGTGATGAATGAATAAACCCAGCAATAAACATTTTTTCAGTGTTAGGATTTTTACTTACAAGAATGATTTGAAAAATGCATTCCTGTGAACATCCTGATTATGGCAATAATTTACACCCCGCCTTCTGACAGAAGCTGTACTCAAGGCAGATTGCTTTAAAAAAAACACAAAACAAACAGTAAGTTATTAAAATAGCAGTGGCTTGAAACATTATAAAGGAGACTGCATTTAAATAAAAGTTGGCTAGAAAAAGAGAGAGTGATGGAACCAGGGTGGGGGGTGGCTGCCATCCTAAACAGCTGAGAAGTTCCTCTTGCATGCCAAACCACTTCACCTCAGATGCCAGAACTACAGTCCCCAGCACCCCTAACAAACTACATATATTCCCACTATTTTGAGGGGAATAAACCACACCATATATTTAAAGCACATGGCTCCCCCCAGATAATAAGGGGAAATGTAGTTTACCTCACAGAGCTACAAAATCACCAGCAACTCATAACAAATTACAGTTCCCATAATTCTTTAGGGGAAGCCATGTGCATTAAATGTGTGTTTTCAAACAC